ATCGAACGAGTGGATGGCGAAATAATCTCTCATGGCGATGCTATCCATCATCTCCGTTTGCCTGATGGTGTGATTGATCCTACATCGCTGTGGCAGATACGCCAGGAAGGGATATTGCAAAGAGAGACCTGGGCAGTGAAACCTGAGCCATGAGATGGATCTGAGGAAGATCAATAGCGAAGCTTTTATGAGTAGGAAACAAGATCACTGCGGCAGCATGAGCTGTTTGGGAAACAAAAGGGAGACTTGCGTTGATTGTAGTTGCTTTGTGGAAGAAGTCTTTTATTGTAGTACGCCGTTGGCTAAGGGGGTGGCATAAAGCTCACCTACCCATGGCAAGGTCATGCATGTCCTAAGGTTACAAAAAGACTTAGACAGTAGTATCAAGAGAAGTTGAAATAAACTTGGTAGGATCTTATACTGTTTTATTTTCTCGACTGATGTATGGTCTCAAGTCTTCTGACCCAGACAGAGACCTAGGTAGCCCTGTCATAGTTAGGAATTCTGTAAGAGCATATGTGATTGATACGAGCCGCGGTATCCAATAACCCCTGTAGCGCTACTGTAACAGGGACCAGCGATGCACTGAAAGCAGCCTAGAAACTTGAGTTCGCAGGCTAGAGCCCCTCCACTCCAAAGCCTAGCAGTTCCCCAGCATCTCGGCACCTCAACCCCCAACACGTGCCATCCCTCTCAACCATCATCCGTCGTCAATCGAGCCACCCATCAGCGAATTCTCTCACATCTCACTCCCTTTATGATCTACTCACTCCTTCCTGAATTGATCTGATTTGACCAGATCCCTCACGCTCTCTTTGCGCGCGCTCAGAGCGGCTCGTAAACTTGCCCCCCTCATCCAGTCTTATCTTTATTCCTCTCCAGCGATCAATCGCCACGGGCGTCTTTGTTCTTGTTTCTCACAAGCCAGGAAAAAAAAGAGACAGACTCCCCGCCTCACCTGTCGATAGCCCGCTATACTTACGTATTTGCTACTGTTTTACAACTAGCGCTGCAGGGCTGCTTGTTTCTAGCTTGGAAGAACCCGATCTTGGACCTAACTTGGTTGACCAACAAAAGGCTCCCAAGCCTTAGAACTCTCTCCAGCAGCCAGCTCCCCTCTCAACGCCACGAAACAGTTGATAACTACAGTACTCGCTGACAACCGTGCGAGGGCGGCTTGTTTTTGCTCTCTGTCTTGCCTTGCCTTGCCTTGCCTTGCCTTGTCTTGTCTAGCAGTCTATACAACCAACCGACAGGTTACTAGACCAGGCTAACCTAATCGTCTCATCACTCAAGACATCTGTACTTTTGGATTGCATTTGTTTCTGCTGCTTGGGCTTTGTCGTTCGAAAAGTGCCCTTGTTAATTCCTCCCTGGCACTCTTTTATCATTCGGCCATTTTGTACATTCCCTGGCCCTACCATCGCGATTGTACTGCGCCCCTGTCCTAGTCCTCGCCTCTATCCTTATTTTTTTTTCGCTTGGCCGCACGCATTCGATGCCTTCTTAACATTCGTTTCACTTCCTGTCAATCAGCTTTTGTATCGACGGCTTCTCCTTCCCGCGAAACCAGGCCGGCCAATAGCCCGACGGTCCGTTCCTCGGGACTGTTTCCCTTCTTTCCGTCCGCCGTCACAGAATTCCGAACTCTTTGCACCAACTTTCAAGACTCGAGCGTATCCCCTGAACTGCTTCTTCTACCTCATGGAATGCGATAGCCTGTGGCGATGAACTCCCTCAACATCCTAACGGCCCGCGTATCGCCGCCCCCAAGTCCAACTCAATCTCGATCGAACAGCATAGGAGGAGGTCCCATTGGTACAATTGGATTGGCCTCCGAAGACCAGCACGGCGATGACAGACCCTCCGGTCACGAGACCGAATCCTTTGCCCAGGATACTATCGACGAATCGCGATTCACCGAAAAGCCGGCTGACGAGAGTACACCGTTGCTCAACGACACAGGCGACAGCCAAAAACGAAGCTCATGGTGGCACTCTATCCCTCGACGCTTTGCTTCTAGCATTATTGGTTCTATCAGATGGGTTCTTGCGACACTGGCATCTCCAGGTGTCTATCTCATTGCATGTTTCTATGACGAATACGGCAACTTTGCACCCTTTACGCAGCTCGGAAAACTATTTGGATTACACGGACCTCGACATAAGACGATGGAAGAACCTGAAATTGTTTCTGAAAAAGATTATGGCAGGACTACAGGATATAGGAAGCTAGCACCAAGACCGAGGCCCGTATCATCGTCATCGACGTCATCAGGCCTCTCATCGGAGTCGGAATCGGATGGATCGCGGTCAGGCAGTCTCAGTCGACACGCACGATCGAAGTCACTACAGCCTGCTGAGGAAACCGGCCCGACGAGAAGGTCAATTCGCATCAAGCTCAACAGCGACGAAGATCTCAGGCAGCGGAAGCATAGGAAAACGCAATCAGCAGTCGCGCGAACAAAGGCTAGTGATTTGGGCGGCGGCGACCTCTCGGCGCATCTGAAATCTCCCACTTCTCCCATTGCAGCGCTCACCAAGTACCCAAAGACACCGGCACCACCTCGACCTTTGATCCCACGCAGGCAGCCGTCCTATATCAACCTCGAACCGCCGACGAGCCCGCAGAAGACCCTGATTCTAGATCTAGACGAAACCTTGATACACAGCATGTCCAAGGGCGGCAGGATGAGCACCGGACACATGGTTGAAGTGCGCTTGAACACAACATATGTGGGGGTTGGTGGACAGACGTCGATTGGACCGCAGCATCCGATTCTATACTGGGTTAACAAGCGACCGTATTGCGACGAGTTTTTGAGGAGGGTATGCAAGTGGTACAACCTGGTTGTTTTTACGGCATCGGTGCAGGAGTACGCAGATCCAGTGATTGATTGGTTGGAGGCGGAGAGGAAGTATTTCTCGGCGCGATACTATCGCCAGCATTGCACGTTCCGGCAAGGCGCTTTCATCAAGGACCTCAGCTCGGTCGAGTCAGACCTGAGCAAGGTGATGATTCTGGACAACAGTCCGTTGAGTTATCTGTTTCACCAAGGTAAGGTGCCTCAGTCGGATTATTTGGGGGTAAGACTGTTAACATTCGTTTGCCAGACAATGCGATTCCCATCCAGGGGTGGATCAATGATCCGACGGATACGGACTTGATGCATTTGGTGCCGCTGCTGGAGGGTCTGCAGTATGTTCATGATGTTAGGGCGTTGTTAGCCCTGAGGGGTGGTGAAGATGGTCAACATATGGCATAACCCATGATATTTATTAGGCATAACTTATGATAAGGTACTTTAATTTGGAGTTGATTTCTCGTTGTCGCTGTAGATTACGTGGGTGAAGCTGGTCGCTTATTACGGAGCAGATGTGGCGGGAGAGCAACCGCCATGTTACCCCAGACCCGATGAGAGTGGCTTGACATAAGGTAGTTGAGGTAAACTTCTGATGATATTATGCATATCGTCGACTTTAAGGTCAGATATATGATGATGCAGTTGTCTTTATCCATAAGTCCTTAAACTAGGTTCTCAATCTTAGGGTAACCGTCAAAATGGGCAAAGCTCCAGTTACAACACTTTTGGAAGCGTTGGAACAACCAAGTTAAGCGCCGGATTGCTGTCTGTCGTCTTGTGATGCACCAAAATATTTCCAATTACCTTAGACACAAGCTGCTCCGTATTCACAAACGAAGAACAAGGGTCCATCCACAATCACACGTCAAACTCGTCATGACATCCCAATCCTCCTCTGTCCTCGAATTGTGATGTTCAGGGACAGGGTCTGGTGTCAAAGGCATGTGGTGAAAGTCTGAGACAAGAGTGGCAGGTTAGCTCGAAACGGAATGTGTTGCTGAGCCGACTGTTTTCGGGAGGCCAAGACCGGCTTTAGAAAGTTTGAAGATGGGAATTTTGTTTGAACTGAGAAGTTGGAAACGGGGAATAAAAAACAAGCTTTAGACCGGCTTCGGTTCCGCGGATCACATCAGACACTTTTCAGCTGAGGACTCTTGAAGGGGAGTTCGGCTGGAAAGGGAGACAATGGCGAGAGGAAAAGTTAACAATGGCCGGCTCTGATATTACCGGGGTTCATTGTGAGAGTGAGAGAGCCGAGGGAAAGGAAAGGAATAGATGCAGATGACGCCGTGACACCGTCACTCGTCACTCACTTCTGAGAAAGTCTGGGTACCTTACTCTGTACTGTGCTAGAGATCCATTTGGTTATGGCGCTGTTCCCCGCTAAGACTTTCTTGCTTTCATGGACGGGAACTGAAATGATGGAACTCTGCTGCACTTGGTAGCAGCAGCAGCTACTGGTACAAACCCTGGTCACCAAGAAACTTGACCTGGACCTGGACCTGGACCTACAGTACCTTAGCCTAGACCAAGCAAGCTTCCCCATCTTTTGCCCCGCTCAGAGGAGATCAAGCTCCTGTAGCTCCAACTACGGACAGGGCAGCAGCTGTGAGCATGTAAGAGTGAGCGAGTGAGTGAGCTCTGCTATGGATGGATGAATGGCATGTCTGAGTCGTACACGTAAACGTCAGATCAGGTACAAAGAAAGTTGGCAGGGGAGCAGAGCAAAAATAAGAGATGCACCCCGCAATAAGTGAAGGCCAGTGAATTAAATTGGTTAGTGGCAGTGAAGAGCAGCTGCAGTGGCTGGAACATGGAGGAAAACGGTCCAGAGTTGAAATTTGTCTCACCAAATGGTGACATCATCACATCTGGTGACGACACAAGGGCAGATGAGAGGAGGGGAGAACCCGAGAAACAGTCAAGGCAATGGAAGGGCAAGCCACCCGGAAGCGCTTTTCTCAATGATGCGAGATCGAGATCTGTGACGAGCTCGAGAGTACAAATACTGGGAAGGATCCAATCCAACGAGCTACTTATACCTACCACCTTAATTCTTTCACACTCTAACTCAACTACCAACCAATTGAAGCTATACCCATACCATCTCTCAATTCTTCAACTCATCACATCCAAAATGTCTCTGCACTATCTCCCCCCCGTCAAGCCCTCTGCCATCGCCCTCGGCACGGCCTTCAACCACGGCATTGAGCTCGCCGTCCTCGCTCCCATCTTCGGCCAGACCTACCAGCGCGCCAAGGCTGCCAACACCAAGGAGGAGTTCATCCGCTCCAAGGAGGCTTCCGGTGCTGCTCTCGCCTGGGGCTCTTCCCTCATCGGCTCTGCTCTTCAGTCTTATGGTGTCGGTGCTCTCATCAACGCCACTGGTACTCTGAGCTACAAGGGCGCTGCTTATCTCGGATCCCTCATCTTCTTCGCTACCTCTGCTCCCGGCGTATGTTTTCACTCTCCTACCTCACTGTACCCATTCACTCACTAACTGACCTTCTATAGTACATTGCTCAGATCTTCGTTGAGAAGCGACCTCTCGACACCGTCGGCGTCAGCCTGGCTACCAAGCTCGTTGAGACCCTTGGTCTCTCCGTCTTCCTCACCTGGTGGGGAACCCGAACCAACCCTTTTGAGTAAATCCTCTCTTGGCCAAGGTTTCTTAATCTCCCCATGATCGGGATGGGGTTTTCCATGATGAATTTGTTATACCGCGGCTTTGGGCCTGTGTGAAATACCTAGGGATAGGGACGATGTACCTATAACAGAAAGCCAGTAAGGCAAAATAATACCACACAAAGGAACAAAACTATAAACTGATAGTGTGATGTCAATTATTCGAATGCATGGTATTCGACCACCGGAAACCTACTCATGAAGTGATGTATATACTATAAAGGGGCCTTGCGGCAACTGCCACTATAAGTATGTGGCTGAGGTTATTCACAGACTCGAATTATGCCGAGGCCATGATTCGTCCTAGAGTCTGTCAATGATGTTATCAGACTGAGGCGAGTATCCAGAGAAGGGTCCAGCTGTGACAATGCTTGGGTATTGAGCTGTCACATTTGGGCTATTGTGGTGGTGTTGAGGTTGGGTCGCGTGCTGTGGCTTGACGAATGATCTGAATTTCGCGAACATATCACCATCACGAGCTTACAGGTTACAGCTCAAGATCTGCCATGTTTCAAATTCAAGGACCCTTGATAATCATGTCCCATTTTTAATGTAATAGCTAAACCTGAACGCCGCCAAAGCCCTCATCCAGCCGTTGGTTCTCCGGCTAGATGTTCTGGTATAATACATCCAGACTTGTACTTGTTCGAACACACCACACCATCAGCCCCAGGGTACCCTTACTCTTTCTTGATCTTTGGGGATCCCGACTCTCTCTTCATCTTTGGACCTTTCCTACAATGACGGCACTGTCGTGTCGTCGATGGACCTTGTTCCCCTAGTACTTGGTTCCACCCTTGACCCAGAAAGCCTGCTTGCCATACTCCTTCTGCACGTACTTGACGAGGGACGCATAGCTCTCGCCGAACGCCTCACCATCATCCTCGCCGTCCTTGTCAGCGGATTTGTCCTTTGACTTCTTGCCCTCGGCCTTCTCCATGATCATGACCACGGATGTAGGGCGCTTGGTCTTGGCGGCAGCGCCGAGCTCAGCGCGCGACGTGACGAAGATGAAGGGCACGTTGTGGTCCTCGCACAGCACGGGGAGGTGAGAGATGACGTCCATGGGAGAGATGTCGCCGGCGATGATTACAACGCCGGGGAAAGAGGTGTTGCCGGGGGCGGAAGGGGGAGACTTTCGGAGAGTCTTGACGACCTCCTTGACACCGCGCTTCAGGGTGTTGTTCTTGGCAGCTGTGAAATGTTAGCAGTCTGTCTGAAATACATCGTTCACTGTAGTTGCATACCCTTTCGGATGGTCTTGTAGACCTTCTTCATGCCCTTCTCATCCGCCACGGGGAGGGCGAAAGGAACGACAACGCGCTCAAGAGGCAGCTCAGCGGCCTTCTCCTCCTCAGCATCAGAATCCTCGTCCATGTTGGCAGCAGCAGCGGCAGCGGCAGCGGCAGCGGCAGCGGCAGCGACGGGGACATCCTGCTGGAGCTTCTCCTCAAGGGCAGCGGCGAGCTTCTCCTTCTTGTCCTTCTTATCCTTCTTCTCCTTCTTGGACTTTGAGACGCCGGACTCGTCGCTTCTCTTCTTGTCCTTCTTCTCCTTCTTATCGGGCTTCTCGGCGGCCATTGCTGCGGTTCTCTCGAGGAAGCTTCGTCGAAGTTACTACTTGTGTGTTCTTGGGAGTCGCACGGAGATTGTATGTGCGAATTGAAGGTTCCTCGGGAATGTTGGTGGTCGCAAAGTTAAAGTGTTTTCTTTTAGCACTCCACTGACCTCGAAATTTTCCAACTTTTTTTTTCTCCAGCGAGCGGAAGAAGAGCTATCGCGCAAAGTTTCGGCGTTACATACCGCCGGTTCCGCACGACTTCTGCTTGCACGTGACCATATGATCGAACAGTCCAATCATGCTCTCGGCAATGACTATTACCAGTGGATCCGATATTGATTCGAATCATCAAGAGATTTGACATTGATGGGGTAACTGGGTTAGAGACTTCAATTCGGCTGTGATTTATAAACGCCGAAAGGCCAAATAACAAAGAAATAGTGTGACTGCCGTCTATTGCACCTCCTGATCTAGGTATTGATGATGTACAATGAGTCCAGAGGACCTACTCCAACACATCCGCCATGGTTTTGCTCCAATAATTTGACCAATTTACTCCTCCTCATCACCGAACTCGGCGCGGCCAGCCTTGGAGTTGAGGTACTCGCTTCTGTAAATATAATTAGTATTCTGTCGTGGTTGAGCGCCGTGCATGAACGTACCGCTCGACAGCCCAGTTCATGATGTAGTAACCGGCAATCATAGGAGGAAGCCAGTAGAAGATTTGGCTCTTGGTTCGGCGGAAAGTGTTGAAGATGGCATCGTTGAAGGCACCGGCCCAAGGGTTCTGTCGGTTGGCGGACAGACCGTAAGTGATGATACCACGCTGCTTCTCACCACCTGATTATCGAGTTAGTCTCCAGTTTCGTCGATGACGTTGATGAATCCCCAAGAATATCCCGTCGATGAATTTCGAGACCGGTTATGCGCATGCATTGAGTTTTGGTGTTATATCGACCCAATTGCTTCCACCTCGTGCATCGTCATTATCCGTTGGTCCGTCGCGTTCATCGATCCAGTTTCCTCGTTCGCACATCGTAGGAGCAATCACTTACCAAAGTGGCCCCAGTTACCAATGTAGCTATTGAAAAATCCGTCAGCATTCAATTCCATCTCGATTGGTAGATTTTGAAGGCCCGGTGTTGTTCGTTCGATCATTAACCATTGGAAAAGCCGCACGCAACAGAACCACCAATTGCCCTCGTTCAATCGCAATCCACGTACTGTCCGTTCTTGGGGTCGGCAGCGCCGCTTCGGAGCATCTGAGTCGGTCTCATTTTGGCGGATTTGGCACGAAAAGTCGAGATCTCTCGTGTGTGGTTTTTGGAGTCGTCGGTTTGGAGGCGAAAGGCAGAAAAGGGCCACCTGAGGATTTCTCGGGTTGGAAAGGAAAGCGCAGACGCAGGCTTTCCCCATCAGCCGAGCTTTCCCGAAGGAGCCTAGCTCCGAGTAACAACCCACCCGAAGGAGTCCAACAGCCAACCAACGAATCGCACTGGGAATTTGTCCAGAGGTGGACTAAGAGCTTCAAATCATCATCGCCGTCCGTTGACTCCGAACAGCTTCAGCTACGTCTCAGTTCCCATCGATATTTGGGTTCTAACGACCACCATTTTTGAACGACGTCTTGCAACGATACGCCGAACAAGACTTTAAGCGCATCACATCAAAATGGCGGCCGCTGCGAGAGCCCTCAACTTCATGTACCGCATGGCGGTCCCCGCCTCAGCTGTTGTCTTCCTAGGCAGTCAGTCCATATACGACGTCAAGGGAGGAACTCGGGCTGTCATCTTCGACAGATTGTCTGGTGTTAAGGAGACCGTCGTCAATGAAGGAACCCATTTCCTTGTTCCCTGGCTGCAGAAGAGCATCATCTTCGATGTCCGCACTAAGCCCAGGAATATCGCAACAACCACAGGCAGCAAGGATTTGCAGATGGTTAGCTTGACACTGAGAGTGCTGCACCGACCAAATGTCAAGGCTCTCCCCAAAATTTACCAGGTAAGATGAACAATCCCTGATTCAGGTCATATGACTGATTCTCATAGAACCTCGGTGCCGATTACGATGAGCGAGTCCTCCCCTCTATTGGTAACGAAGTCTTGAAGGCCATTGTCGCCCAGTTCGATGCTGCAGAGCTCATCACCCAGCGAGAGGCTGTCTCTGAGCGAATTCGAAACGACCTTACTCTCCGTGCTGCCGAATTCAACATCGCTCTTGAGGATGTTTCCATCACCCACATGACCTTCGGACGTGAGTTCACAAAGGCTGTCGAGCAGAAGCAGATCGCCCAGCAAGATGCTGAGCGAGCACGATTCATCGTCGAGCGTGCTGAGCAGGAGCGTCAAGCCAACGTCATCCGCGCCGAGGGTGAGTCCGAGTCCGCGGAGGCCATCAGCAAGGCCATCCAGAAGGCTGGTGACGGCCTCATTCAGATCCGAAAGATCGAGGCCAGTCGTGAGATTGCTGCTACCCTTTCTTCGAACCCCAACGTCGCCTACCTACCTGGTGGAAGCGGAAAGCAGGGTGGCCAGTACCTGTTGTCAGTGGGCAGAGCTTAAAGCAACGGACTTTGTATAATGTGAAGGATATTGAGGAAATGACAGGGAAATCCCCGCTTATCGTTGGCGATGAAAACACTTATTCATGAGCGCCAACTATGTATTTCTAGAACGAGACCAGACGGGAAAATCAACCCTATCTCGCAATGTATAATCGCCGGTGGCTTCACGGCTTCTCCCGTTCCAAATCGGCATTAACTAAGCCGGACCAGTGACCAAGTCCAGAACACTCCAAGATCTATGATGCCAATGCTCTCCAGTACCATGAATGTTCACATGCGTATCTACCTATCTTGAATATGGTTCCCAGGCTCAAGAACTATGCCTCAATGAACGCCTCCGTCAGTCCTGAAGCTTTCCCGGGAGCCACGAAATTACCATCCACCAATTTCCAACCTTCTCTCTGCATGTCCATCCATTCATTTCTGATCTTGAGACGAACGAGGTCTCCTGCTGCTCTTGCATCCTCAGCAGAATCATGGCCTACCATCTTTGGGCCCGTCTCCTGTTGAATCTTGCGGTTGAGATGAACATCCATGAGCATCTTCAGGCTATACCGATATGGTAAACCAGCCTTGTGGGGGAAGAGCAGCACGGTATCAATTATTGTTGGATGCACAATCCGGACTGAGTTGAGATCGTTTTCAAGACCATGTCCAATCAAGGGTGTAGTTGGGGAGATGAGTTGAAATAACAGATCTCTGGCAACTTCTGGAGATGAGACGATCTTGAGCTGCTTCTTCTTAGGCTTCAGCTCGCCGTCTTCGCTCACATCGTCGTCGCCACTCTTAGTTGGCTTCGTTGATTTGCCCGCGGTCCACGATTCAGCCTGAGCGAGGTCGTCTGGCCAGACACCAGAGTATCGCGAGTTGAGATCGAGTATTTCTCCCAATGGTCGAACCAGTACATCTAGCAGTTCCTCACCTGTCGGCCATGATGTTGCAGTTAGACGGATAAGTTCCATGCCGTAAACTGTATAGCCCATCTCGCAATCAAAAGCCACTGCTCTGTCCGTAGGCACGATAGGATTCTCGGGAGTTTCTGCAAAGTTAAGCACCGAGGCAAGTCTCTTGGGATCTGAGGTCTTGAATACGTGGTGATCACGAGTGAAGCAGCCAACAGAGTCGCCGACTTCTTGTCCACAACACTGATATCGCTTGGGCTGCTTATTGTTGTCGCCTGGAGCCTTGGGGGCGATAAAGGTCTTTCCCCAGTGGAACGTGCATGTTCCACCAGAAGTGAGTGCGCCGTCTTCTTCGCGTCTTCCAGGAAAGACCTGGAAGCGTTGTTGGCAACGGTCACATTTCTCCCATCCTGCGGCTGTTGCTACACCTTGTCTCCCTTTTTCAATATCAGCTTCTGAAGGTATACTAGCAACATAACCATGATTTGTGAGCTTATCGATGGGAGTCAAAATGCGTATCGTAAGCTCAACCTCCTGAGCAGGGGTCAGGCCGGTCTTGATCTCCGTTGGTTTTTCGTTGGGATCCTTCCCAGCTGCTTCGAGTTCCTTCTTCTTTATTTCATCCTCTCTCTCGGCCTTCCACTGATCAACCTTCATTCGTTTGTATTGCATGACTTTGTTTTTCATGACGTTAGAGTACACAGCGGTCTTGTGGACGGCAACGTATTCCTCTTCGTCCAGAGTTCTGACGATAAGATCTTGATCTGATAGTAAAAGTCTCGTCTCGTCTTTCTTGATCTTAGCTTTGAGTTCTTTGTTGAGACGGGTAAGTTCCTGGTGAAGCATTTTGACTAGTCTGAGACGGATGTCGTGAGCGGCAGGCAATCGTTTAAGGAGTCTCGGATTCAGTGTCTCGGCCTTCTTGGGCTTTGCTGGTACAAGTTTTCGGGCAGAAGATGGATGTGATTCAGTAGCAGAATGACTTGTTTTGGCAATCTTTGAAGAAGCTTTTGAAGTGTGATCTTGAGTGTCCATCTTCCGTTTCAGCGGTGGAGGAGAGACTGTTCGAGCTGCTGTTTCAAGCTTCTTGGCTACGGGCTTTGGGATATCATCCGTTGGAACCCCACGAGATGTTCCAGAAGAGCTGGGTGCCCCATCCTGGGGAGTTTTAGGTGAAGGAGGCGGATGAAAGGGATCTGTCCTCACACGCTTGCGTGGTACATCTTGGTTTGCTGCCGTGGTCTCATTGGTCGTGTCATCTGATGAGAGTCCTTGTGACGGCGGTTCATATTTCTCCTTTGGATGGTTGAATGGACAAAGGCTCGCTGCGCAATCATCGCCCTTGGGACAGGGGATGTGTTTAAATAAACTCATGGTGACGACACTTCAAGTGACGTTGAGGATTTCCCAATATGAGCACTGTGCTGGCATTCGTTACCATGTAAGCTTCTAGTGATGCCAGCGAGATAGTTGAGCGTGAATGGATTCTTGGTTGGAGGTTGAAGCCAGGTTTAGGGTGGTTGTGCTTGGTGAGACGAAACAACAGGAGGTTATCCACTGCAGTGATATGAGTTGTTGTGGAGTGGTTGAAGGGAAGGCCGTGCTGATATGAATGCACGTGAGCTTCTTGAAAGGTCGAAGGGGCCAAAATAGAAAAAGAATTCAATTATCGTCGTTTTCATTTAATTGAGATTGTATTAACTGTTTGGAGCCTTTGATGTATTGATGAGGCTCAGCTTGAAAGAGAGCTACAGGTAACTAGCCTAAGCCTTCAGCTCTCAAGCGGTTGCTCTCATGATGAGGCCCACTTTAGCTGTACCTTGCCCACTCTAAGTGCTGGACTCCGCCTTGAATTTAGAGGCTCATAAGCCATGACGCTTCATACCAACTGGAACAAGGGATGGACTTTTGGTTCTTTGTGATAACCACAGAATGATAGGAATACAGCTGACTGTGTGTACTAGGTAGTTCTCACCACATACTGAAATAGATCTGGTTCTCTTTACATCGATGACAAACTTGTTTTCAGTGCACTTACATAGACTGCTCGCACTCGGGTTCGCACCCCTTTGTAGGCGTCATGATAGGAATTCAGCTCTCCCAAATCTAGAACCAACCTGCGATGGTGTGGGAAAGCGCCACATTTGATGATCGATCAAATAGATGAAGTAAGATCCATAGACCAGTTAGTCCATGCGATCTAAACCAAAGCCAGCTATTGGCAGCAGTCGGAATTCACATCTATCCGAGATATCGTGTAATTAGACTGCGATAAGTCCGCAGCTATAAAGACTGAACGAAGCCTCTGCTGTTTTGATCTGGATGACCATGCCTTCAACTCAGCCCCACGGCATTAATACTCGTTAAACACCATTGTCAGCAACCAGATTGTATTCCTAAAACGGCATATGCTGTCGCGTGTTTGGTCGACGTCGATAGTGGTCATCGATATTCTGGTGGGGACTTTAACGGCTTAACTCCGTGCTGCATCCGTATTCCTGCAGTTGAGCGGACTTCAGACAACCCGACTTTACGCAATCCGAAACTCCGTTGGGGGCTGCATCTCCTGAGAAACCTCAACTAATTTATTCTTAAAAAGACTGGCAACGTTTCTGCCTCAGTCTCTGTTCTTTTTTGGCCATTTTAATTTCATCGCACATCCTTCACCATGTCTAAACCTGTTGTTCTTGAAGACGTTACTGGCGGAAGCGCAAAGGCTACTCACCTTTGTGTTTTAGTTCACGGCGTAAGCATCATCCCCTGACGATCAATCCTTATACGTCATGCAGCGCTGACCATAGAAACAGCTTTGGGGGAACCCAAGCCATATGCGCAATGTTGCTAAGGCTTTGCGCGACGAATATTCCGAAGACGAATTGTATATCCTGCCTGCCGAGAAGAACTGCGGCAACTTCACATACGATGGCATCGAGCTTGGTGGCGAGCGCGTGTGCGCAGAGATCGAGGACAAGTTGCGCAACATTGAAGAGCAAGGAGGCAAGATCACCAAGTTGAGTATTGCAGGATATTCGCTCGGTGGTCTTGTCTCGCGATATGCGGTTGGCTTGCTTTATGCGAAGGGAATTCTCGATAATCTCGAATGCATGGTAAGTCGCACTCAGGGGAACATAGTAGGAAAAGATTGGATGAACTAACAATCCTGTCAGAACTTTACCACATTTGCTTCCCCCCATCTCGGAGTGAGAACGCCACTTAAAGGATGGCACAACACCGTTTGGAACGTCCTCGGCGCCCGAACCCTATCAATGTCCGGTCGCCAACTTTTCACCATCGATAAATTCCGCGACACCAACCGACCTCTTCTCGCAGTGCTTGCCGATCCAGATTCTATTTTCATGTCTGGTCTCAAGAAGTTCAAGCGCCGCACACTATACACAAATATTGTCAACGATCGAAGTGTTGTCCACTACACATCCGCCATTACCAAACATGATCCTTATACAGACCTTGAAAAGGTCAATCTCAACTACCTTAAGGGATACGAGGGTGTGATTCTTGACCCTGACCATCCTATTGCGCTTCGACCAAAACTTCAACAAGATACCCTATTGACAGACTACGAAGCTCTCAAGAAGTGGGTCAAGAGCATACCATTTATGGTGACAGTCGGTGTTATAATTCCGATCGGAGTTGTTGTTTTCCTCGCCAACTCTGCCGTCCAAACAGTTCGAAGCGCCAATCGAATCAAAGCGCACGAGTCAGGAGAGGCTGGATTGAAGATCGAGCAGTATCGCATGCCCCTACGGATTAAGGAGATTCGAGAAGAAGTCGAACAAGCCTACGAGGTCCTCAACAGCTCACAGAACCAGCAATACTTGGCGGCGTCAGACTCAGAAGATGATCTGGCCTATGATGCTGAGGATCGCAAGCTGCTGAAGAAAGAGCGCAGAATGTCGACCCCTGGACAGCCTACGCTTGCGCTGACCCCTGATCAGTTCGAGATGATTGAGAATTTGGATGAAGCTGGTTGGCGCAAGTTTCCTGTTCACATTCAGAAGCATCGACATAGCCATGCAGCTATTGTCGTGCGCATGGATAAGGAGAGTTTCGCTGATGGCTGGGTTGTTTTGAAGCACTTTGCTGGAAGTGAGTTCCTCATGTAAGGGGAACATTCTATTGCAATGGATTATAATGGATTTATGCGGGATGCATTTGCGAGGCGTTTGGAATACTTTTAACATGGTTGGGACATATGGATAGAATTGGAGTTTGATATAATGCCCTTTATTAGACACAGGCAAGGAAACCTTTAGGACGGATATGTTAGCGAGTTTAGCGATGATACTCATTAATTCATGGAAAAACGATGATTTATAAAATCTGTGTAGCCGATCTCAAATGAAGAGTAGATCTAACAATGAGATATTGACTTCCATGTATGGTATGTCATTGTGCAGACCAAGTGACATTGATTCGTCATACCTCTACACTGTCGCATCGTGAGTCCCAAAACTGTCGTCATCTCACCAAGCTTTGGTGTTGCAGTCTGATGACGCTGTGATCCAGCATCACGTGTTAATCGCCACATCCTCTCCCCAGATTAACCAACCCCTCACTACGGCCCAATCGGAAACTTGTGAGTTTCGTGATCAAGGAGCTCTTAATTGGCTAAAACGACATCAATCAGCCGATTGCTCGTGCTTTTGCCTCCACTTTCTTCTTAAGTTCCTCCTGTTTTTCTTCTTCCACAGCGGAGAAAGAAGCCCAGACCAGTCGAGTACTGCTGTTGCTGCTGCCAAAGTCTCGTGCTGCTTTCTCTGCTCTCTGCTCTGCTTTGCTTGTCGAGGTCGCGAGGGTCTCCAGATCTAAACTTGATCACTCCATCATCAGCTCTTTTTACTGTATTATTCTTCCCTTGTTGTAAATTCTCTCGCGGCCCGACATAGCTGCGAGCTCCGCTTCTGAGTCCGTCTTACTGCTCTGCTCTGTTCTCTTGCTTATCGATTTCCCATATCCGGCTCTGTGCCACCCGGAGATAAGAAAGTGCTGGTGCTTAAGCCGAGGCGCCGGCTCAATTTTCCGCAACCACCAACCTCTTAGTGATCAACTTGATCCAAGAGCATCATCGAGCTTACGGCTCATTGGGATAGGAATTGGGGTTTCAATCAGCTCTGCGATTTGTTTTAGAGCTTCTCTGCACAATTGATAGGTCAGACCAATTGCCCCTTGGTCAATTGGACCTCTTCTTCTACGTCTCTTCTCTTCGATTCTTTTTTCTTGACGAGCATTATTTGCTCGAATCCGCGACAATGGTTCTCACTCACACGACGAACCATAACTATAACCATCCATTCCCGACTGTCACTCTTGCCTACTTCCTTCGATACTCCTCGCCTCAGCTGAATCCCTTCGCCGCCCATGTTCTCAGTACTGACACCATTGAGAGCTATGTCGACCCAAAGACCCGTCGACTTCACACAACTCGCATCCATTTGAAGAAAAGTCGAATGCCTGGTGCTGTCTACAAGCTACTTCCTGCCAGTGTCACCGGTGGCGGCTCCGGAGACAAGGCTTCATACATCCTCGAGACGAGTGTTGTCGATATCAAGGAGGGTTGGATGAAGACTGAGAGTCGAAACCTCAATTTCACAGGCGTGCTTTCTGTCATTGAGAAGCAGGAGTTCAACGTCCCTGCTGAGGGCTCTAACCAGAATCCTAACGAGACTGCTGTGACGACTATGGTTCAGTTTAGGTCAAGACTCGGTGATAAAATTAGGGGCAAGCTGGGACAAGCTCAAGAGGACGGCTGGTTTAAGAATGGTATCATTGGTGGCTGGGGCACGAAGGGTATTCAGCGCAGCATCGAGAGCATCGCCTCTACCAAGACGCAGGATCAAATGGGAAAAAGCCGAGATGGCATGAAACTCGTCCTTGAACGATTGCGCAACAATGGCGTAATGGGAGTTCTCGAGACGATACGGCGAGAACGTCAGCGACAGCTCGCTTAAACGCATAACGATACGACCAACTGTAACAATGAACGACAACGGCCTTAGAGCAGCACAACATCGGGAGGGAAAGGTTCCTAATGGGGTGTGTACGCTTTGTGTATTATTATTGCATTTCAACTGAGCCTGGCGTATGTGTCTTTTTTTTGGGAGGGGAATATGTGGAAAATCTGGAGATTGATGCTGGAATCAACCAGCGGAGCGGATGAGGGGACAGAGTAACGTGCGATGACACGGCGCCTCGACTATATGTGGCATCCCCTCTCTTGTATTTTGTATGAAAAATGAATGGAAACAAAAATTCAAACAGGTTATTCATCTAGTGATTGACCGCGCGGATGTGAGGTTTGAGCTTGCCTGACAGCTGATCTGAACTAACAAGCTTGAGGCGTATAAGTTCTAGTTAATCCATAGCCTTTGGACCTACTTATAGTAAAGGTATATACATGCGAATCTTGGTTGCATCATATCATACACTATTTCTTAAGTCATGCAGTCATACTTCAAGCACCAACTAATCTCGTTCATATTGTACGTTTCGCTGTATGGTTGTCCTTGAGTGGTATCGGGCTCTTCCGAAATCTGTAAGACAAGCACACTTGAAAGAGCTATGGTTTTCTTCCGTGAAGGATTCAATACCATCTGGCCTTGTAGGAGCAATACTGATCTGTACGGATATTAATGCGGCCTGAGAGAGGGAGATCTGCTCCGAACAGGCTTGCTATTGGTCGTGGTTTTACTATGATGGCAAAAGGCAAATGGCAGAAACTTCGAAGTTAGCCCTTATCATGCTGATTTTCTATGATAGCTCATTGCTGCAGACCAACAATTCTTATTTCTACGATAAGCAGCGGAGATCACCATTCTATACCCCACGCATACTAACAGCTGTGCAGTTCACTCACGTAGTAACTTCATCTCGCAGCAATGAGCCCTTATTCTATGACCATCCCGTTGCTACGTCCAATTCCAACAAGCATCGAGGGTATCAGCCTTGGTTTCTCATTTCTTTCCAACACTGTTGTATACACTGTTACTGAACCTGTATTGATATACAAGTGCCTCGATTCCGATCTCTTGCAACTGTTCCGGAAACCTTCATCAGATCACTCTATCCCTTCGGCGACTATCGTTGGATGCCTAACATACGAGGAGGATATCCAAGTAATAAGTAAAAGGAGTGTGGTCAATTCAGGAGCACAGGTTAGTCATCCTAAGTACAAGTTCAAGCCATCTGGTACACAGCACCAACAGATCCCTCGGTATCTTCAAAGAACCTATACAGGCCATGGTCGCCCTCTTTTTCCTTCTCTGTCAACATTTTACCACCAGCCTTTTCAATGATGGGGCCGATGTTGTCAACGTTATCGACAAACCAGTAAACCATGAGACCTCCTTTTCCGGGGTGGATGTGTCCAGTGTGGTCAGGAGCCTGTACAATACCACCTGTCAAGCCCAGGCTGGGGTTGAAGTCGAATTTCCTGAACACATCAGGAGTCTTGTGGTCGGAGTCCTTGAAGTCAAAGTTGAATACAGTCTTGTAGAACTCCGCAGCTATAAAGGTGTAAGAGCAAGATAGACTAGCAGTTGGTTGGGACATACCACGGCTGACGTCTGTCGCAGGGATGCTCATCCAGACGGGAGTACCAAAAGCCGGCGGCTTCCATTCAGACATATTGGGTGATTAGTATGATATCAAGAAGAATGAAGAGTTGTTTGAGAGTGAAGGATGATGAGGAGATCCAACCTGAGGCCATTGAGGTATCGAGGCCCTTTTTATAGGCCATCTTGCTCCCTCTTCACTCAATGAATTTACGCTTATTCACATCTTTCTGTTGGATTGCTGGCTGTCAACCGTGAAGATGGGAAGACTTTAGGCCGATGGCTTGAACTAAGTGACGATGCTTGCACGTTTTCGACAATCGGAACGCGTTGGAGAAGCCATCTTGACAGGGGTAATCGATCGCCAGCTGAGCACGAGAGCACGTGCCGCTTAGTAAAGGCCATACAGTGTTTGGTTTAGCTGAAACTTGTTTATTTTTCGGATTGTTCAGAGTGAATTAATGATCTGACACAATGCCAAGCGATGCTGAGACACAGTGGCAGTTGGAAATTGAGAGGTGAAGTTTGGTTGTGCTATAGGGAGCTTGTCTATATCACCGGAAAATATTGATGATTATAATCTATCCTCTTCATTAGTTCAGCTTTTGATGGCCATGGCTTTTAATACTGTGCCCGTGCCCCTCCATCTCTCCACTCCAAAGCCTGGAATTGTGAGATGGTGGGGTAGACCTGGTAGATTAGATTACTATGCGCATCGGCCCGTCACGTCACTCAATCCCATTGCGATCATCAGTATTTCGGTTCTTTCAAATCTCCCTCCTTTCTCGATAAATAAGCTTATTGGTACTTTTCTCCCTCTTTCTCGCGATCGACCTACTCTGTTTCACATCACTGTATCATCGTCGAAATCAGATCAAATCAAATCATGCCAGACCAAGTAAACGTCCTCTTTGTGTGTCTCGGCAATATTTGCCGCTCACCCATGGCTGAGGGTATCTTCCAGAACCTTGCCAAGCAGCCGAATCTCAAGGATAAGATTGGGCGCATCGACTCTTGCGGTACAGGTATGAAAATCGGATTAACTTAACCAGAATTCAACTGATTATTCTCGCTGTAGCTGCTTATCACAGCGGAGAACCCCCGGATGACAGAACCATGGCTACCCTCGAGGCCAATGGTATAAATGATTACGACCATCTCGCGCGGCGCGTATGTTTCCCCATCTCACCCGCATCGCAATCTTGCTGACACGATATCCAGTTCCACCCGAGCGACTTCAACACCTTTGACTACATTTTCGCCATGGACAGATCGAACCTCTCCGATCTTCACAGACTACAGAAGAACGCCCCAGACTCCAAAGCCAAGGTCATGCTGTTCGGCGAATTCAGCGGAACAAAGCGACCCGAGATCGTCAACGACCCCTACTACGGCGGAGATGACGGTTTCGCAAAGGCGTATGAGCAGTGCACACGGTTCTCCAAGAACTTTTTGAAGGAGACTTTCGGAGAAGAGTAAATGGATGGATGAATATTGATGGAGTTGGGGGGTGGTGATGGATTTAATACCCGATACTTTGTACATACAGATGATCAATGAAGGGAAACGAGGCAGGTTAATGCATATTAGAGGGGACTAGGTAGATTAGAATATTTACTGACACTTCAACAAAGTTGATGATTATTGGCTGAATGATTCCCAGCAAGACGGTTCGATTAAGTTGGAGGGTAGGTTATTCTATGTCGATCCTACAGGTTGTGTCTCAGAACCCTTGAGGTCGGTTTCAGATAAACACCCATGGAAGTTGGTCTCGAAGCAAGAAAAAGAAGGAAACTCGGCGAACTTTTCTCTCTGGTGGGCCACTTGTAACGAGATCCTGTAATCACAAGCGTGCTGAACATTTCTAATACCTTCAAAATGATCAAAAGAGGTCAGAAGAATTGCCAAGGAACATACAAAACAATAACGTAGACAATGATGTCGCAGTCAGAGAGTTCAGTGACAGTCCCACTTGGCAAGCTTCAGCCCTATGCTCCCAGGGCTGACGATGCAGCGGCCTAGTGGGCGGCCTTGATCTCGGGCTGGAGAACAGCGTCATTAAATCTGACTGACTTCACTCCGAGTGTCTCTCATCTGTGTCATGTTGCATCGGTGATGCCGGACCCAGAGACTATGATAACAACACGAGGTCATATTGTACACCTGGCAACTTGACGGCATTGGACCCTAATTATCAGTGGAGGCTTTACGTGAGGCGGATCTCTCAGATGCCGGGTGAGATTGGATGAGATTGCTGACCATCGGTGATGGCCTTTGAGAGACTCAGCCTAGTCAGCCCCTTGGTGGCACAGGACGGCGTGCGGCTGGATACACGACCTAGCGAAGCGGGAGGTGAATGCCGAGATACATACCTTTGTTGGGCTGTTGTGAGGAGGGGATAAACTTTGGACTTCGTAAAGGAACGCGTGTTTTTAAATCATCAAATTTGAGTCTCTGTCCTCTGAGAGTCCAACACGACAAGTTCCCCTTTTTTGCCATAGATGAGGCCGAGCCGTTGCATGCATCACTGCGACTTGAGAGCAAGGGTCGTTGTCGCGCGGCTATCAAGTGAAGAGCTTGATTCGTCCTCCCATTGGCCCAGTGCGTGTGGGGGCCGCAAGCCGAGCAAATCAGCCACATCACCAGGCGGTGACTTCGCTGCGGGGTCCCTTTTTTCATACCTTAGCGGCTTCGGGTCACTGTGGATCGGTTCTAGCAGCCCTGAAAGCCCCTGCTAAAACAGCAACGCAATGCTTCGTCCAGTAGCAGCCCAGGGACGGGCTCAGCAGCTGAGGGAGCTATTTCCCATTCCACTCGTTCAACCCGCGGGACCCAACCAACCAGCAACTTAAGGTACATACATATATCGCAAAGACGTCGGGTCGCTGACTGTTTCTTTGTCTTATTCTTACACAGCATTTCTAAACTCTTCCTTCATCTTTATATACCTTGTCTTTCCCTATAGAGTTCACTCCCCAACCGACGCAAACGGTCGTTCCTCTTTGACCAAAACCTTATCGCATTCGAAGCTTCTATCTTCCATCTATCTGCCCCGCATCCAAGAGATCATATCAGACAGAACAGCCACCATGTCGGACCTTCAAGGACGGAAGGTCTTCAAGGTCTTTAACCAGGACTTTATCGTCGACGAGCGCTACACGGTCACCAAGGAGCTTGGACAGGGAGCCTACGGTATCGTCTGGTGAGTGCGCATCCTGTTACTACTTGTGCTGCGACTCCAAACTCGTCCTCTACCCCGCCGTCTCTTCATTTGCTGACGATAACCCCGCCTCTCAGTGCCGCCGTTAACAACCAAACCAACGAGGGCGTCGCCATCAAGAAGGTCACCAATGTCTTCAGCAAGAAGATTCTCGCCAAGCGCGCTCTGCGCGAGATAAAGCTGCTTCAGCACTTCCGAGGCCACCGCAACGTGAGTTCTGCCGAGGCGCAACGAGTGCCAGGGTCAAAGCAAGGACGCGTATGCTAATATGCTCACGAATAGATCACATGTTTGTACGACATGGACATTCCTCGACCCGATAACTTCAACGAGACGTATCTGTACGAGGGTCAGTAACGAGCCGATAAGAAACAATGACCACAAGCTGACACACCGTAGAGCTGATGGAGTGCGATTTGGCTGCCATCATCCGATCTGGCCAGCCTCTTACCGATGCTCATTTCCAGTCCTTTATCTACCAGATCCTTTGCGGTCTCAAGTACATTCACTCCGCTAATGTGCTCCACCGAGATCTCAAGCCCGGAAACTTGCTCGTCAATGCCGACTGTGAGCTAAAGATTTGCGATTTCGGTCTTGCCCGAGGTTTCTCAGTCGATCCCGAGGAGAATGCCGGATACATGACCGAGTACGTTGCTACCCGATGGTACCGTGCGCCCGAGATCATGTTGAGCTTCCAGAGCTACACCAAAGCGAGTATGTGTGATCCGAAATCGAAACCAGAGTGTTAGTGGATTGTCTTACTGACCCGATATAGTTGATGTTTGGTCTGTTGGCTGTATTCTTGCTGAGTTGTTGGGTGGCCGACCTTTCTTCAAGGGCCGTGACTACGTCGACCAGCTCAACCAGATTCTGCACATTCTTGGAACTCCCAACGAAGAGACCCTCTCTCGCATTGGCTCACCCCGTGCTCAGGAATACGTCCGCAACCTACCTTTCATGCCCAAGAAGCCATTCCCTAGCCTGTTCCCTCAGGCCAACCCTGATGCTCTCGACCTTCTCGACAAGATGCTCGCCTTCGACCCCTCATCTCGTATCAGCGTAGAGCAAGCTCTTGAGCACCCTTACCTCCACATCTGGCACGATGCCTCAGACGAACCCGACTGCCCTACCACATTCAACTTCGACTTCGAGGTCGTTGAGGATGTTGGCCAGATGAGAGGCATGATCCTGGACGAGGTGATGCGATTCCGACAGACCGTCCGCACTGTTCCTGGCCAAGGTGGGCCTGCCGGTCTCCAGAACCAGCAGGGTGTGCCCGTTCCTCTGCCTCAGGGCAACGGCCAATGGACAGCGGAGGACCCCCGACCACAGGAGTATCAGGGCCATGGAAACACGGGACTCGAGCAGGATCTCCAGGGAGGACTGGATGCCTCCAGGAGATAAGGAAGCATATTCGCGTATGATAAGAGTCGGATAGTGTCTAAGAGGAGGTTCAGAGACGTCGCTTCAAGTTCAAAATGAGAGATATACTTTAGGACAAGGAAACAAGAATAAGGCTTAGTGATTTCAAGAATTTAATGCCTGGTACTCGGAGGATAGGAGAACGAGGAATTAGCTTCAAGAAGCTGATGGGGCATGCGTGTACATGGGTTGAGAGGGTTGAGCAGTGATTCCCTCGTCTTCAATTTCCATGTCTGTTTTTCCAAACGAGAAACAAGATGAATACGATATTTCTTTATCTGTTATATGATATGTGCCGGCCCTAGTAGTGATGTTACTCTATATGATGAGCACAAGGTCCTCCAGTGTCTACATGCTGATGTCTATTCTACAATATTTCCCTTCAGCCAACAGTCTCATGGACGAGCTTGGCCATAGCGATGACCTTTTCTTCCTCTAATCTCCGTGCAACGATTTGAAGACTAACCGGTAGTCCATGGACCAGCTCTGCGTCATCTGTATAGTGTTAGTGATATTCGTTCGTATGGCTGGCGCGGGCCACTCACATTCTTCATTGACAGACTTGCATAGCGGACTCAACGGCTCATACGAAGCGTCAAGCTTGTCAATATCCTTATCGACGTTGATGCCGGTAGCAAAAGAGATAGCTGAGTAGTCAACAACATTGAAAACACCGGTATAAGCAACTATCAATCATTAGTATGTCGAATCGTCTCATCGATGACCCTAATACTTACCATGTCTTAGGCTTCCATGCTTTCCAGTACTGTAAGGGGTTGTTGCACTAATAATAGCATCAATGCCTGCCTTGTTCCAGCGGTCGAGATAGCGGTTCTGGAAAGCTGTTCGCTCGAGCTGAAGCTTCCACATCTCGGAAGTACTCAAATCTCTAGCGACTCGATAGGCCTCCATCTCAGGTCTCCAAGGCTCATCTGTACGCTCAAGTTCCTTTCGGATAGTTTGTCCACCATCAGCAGTGAACATGCGTTGGAGAAGTTCACTGCCTTCCTTCTGGTCAACAGGATCCCATTCGATGATGGTATGTCCCGCCGCCTCGAGCTTCTTCTTGGCGATCTGGAGAGCTCGAGTTACAGGCGGTGTTGGCAGGACCATGCCGTCGTGCCACATGAATGCGATCTTTAGCTTTTCAGGGAGTTGGGCTGGGCGCCAGGGAATGGGGAGACACTTGGGGTCGACGAGCCAGGGCTGAGAGTCAATGACGGCTTTGCTGTAGAGCTCAACATCTTGGAGAGTTCGTGCTAAGGGGCCGTTGACCGAGAGAACGGCTTCTTGGCCGGGCATGCCGGAGCGACAGTTGCGCACTGGGAATCGGCCAGCTGAAGGACGGATAGTGAAGATACCAGTGCAAGCAGCAGGAATACGCAGTGATCCTCCTATGGCAGTGTAAGTTTGTTGTTGCCGACTTGAGAGTATAGAACTTACCAATATCAGATCCAACACCAAGCGGACTTCCCTTGAATGCAATAAGGGCTGACTCTCCACCCGAACTTCCACCACTGGTAGTATTCCTATTCTTGGGATTCACAGTTCGTCCAAATGTGTTGTTAACGGACTCTGCGATCATCATAGCCGTAGGTACGTTGGTCTTGACGTAGAAGACAGCACCGGCATTTTGAAGAACTGTTGCAAGTGCAGAGTCGGACTTGGCTGGGTCTCCAACATGAGCTGTGAATCCAACTGTTGAGTCAAGACCTTCAAGGTTGAAGTTGTCTTTGAGAGAAATGGGAAGACCGTGGAGAGGGCCGATAGGGGTTCCAGTCTTGGCAAGATGCTCGTCTAGTTGACGGGCTGTTTGGAGAGCGCGCTCAAAGCAAGTCTCTGCAAGACAGTTTGTCTATACATGGTGTTAGTACGACGCAATCCTCGTCGTGTGACTGACTTACAAGTTGATGAGCGGCAGATGCTCTTTTACAGAATGCCTTGGTGACATCTTCAGACTTGTACTCCCCTGAAGCAAGTTTCTCAAGGAGTTCAGCAGCAGTCAAAGATGTGATAGCGAGCTCTTCCTTAGTAAACCACCCTGAAGACTCTGGCCAAGTTGTTACATCAACCTGGTCATCAGGGGGGAGGATATCTTTAGGAATGCGCCATTGTTCAGGGATAGAAGAGTTGAGAGCCTTGATCTTCTGGTCGCTGATATCCTTCCACGCAGGAGTGGTATCAAGGGTGGCTGTTTGTGTGGTAGTTGTTGTGAGAGTCATGATGGGCGAGACTATTGGGTGTGCAGTATCTTGGGTTAGCCAAGGGAAGATAGAGAATAGAGGCAGCTTAAATCTAGTCTGAGATATCGTAGTCGAAGGCGTCAGTTGAGGGTTGTATCAGTGTAATAGATATCTTTCCTATTTGGGTTATTGCCGGTCCGGAGTTAACTGATGGTGCACTAGTGATTTAGGTTCCCTTCCTGATGGGGAGAGGTATCAAAGGGTCAAGTGTGGTTGTATGAGGGGAAATGCAGCTTATCACGAGGTGTTGACACTAATGAGATACGAATATCTGGGGTAATTCCAGATACTCGGTAATAGAACAAGGATCCGAATATGTTTGCTGATACCTATATCTTTTGATATGTTGTGACTTTTTTTGGGTGAGTATATCCGGCGTATGCTTAGAGAGATTCGCCTACCTAACTATAGTAGACGTGGTGAACTACTCCAACTCCAACTCCAATTATATGGACTTTCTCTCTACCACAAAGACTGTATGTGTGTACCAAGAGCAGAGAAATACAATTCTTAGAACTGCTACTCCTGTAACTTATCCATTTCAGCTATCTTTAATATCAGCTATTGACATATCAAACCCCCAGTAAGTCTCCATCGAGATACCTCTGTAGCATCCGCCAAACCTCCCCGGCATCTCCTATCTCACTAACAAGGAACTTATCTAGCAGGTCTGTATAGATACGTTTCCAAAACAGGAAATGAATCAAGCAATCATTTGCGGAGAGAAATCGTATCTTCAGGGATGATCAACGCCCTGCACGTTCTAGCCTATGGCTTCCCCGCAAATTCCCAATTTTTTTTTGGCTGCTTATCGTTTCGGTAGATTAAGACTAGACTTGGCCGAAATCGTTTGACTTGCTCGCTCAACACACGCGACTTGACTCTGATACTGCAGCGGAATAGGAGCGTTGCCAAGGTCGGTATAATCGAGTCTTAGGAGACTAATACTGCCAATGACTGACTATCTTTGTCTGCAGCTTCACTCGGCATGTATAAGTAGACCAGGTCTCGACCCTCTTGGTTGTCACTCTTGATCATCATCATCATACTCTCGCCACTTCAGACTCTTTCTTACAAAAGTCGCAAATATGTCGTCGAAACTGAAAGAGTATCTTCATGTTGACTACAAGCCTGGAGAGAGACGTCTTGTTCAAAAGATTGACTTTTTCATCTTGACTTTTTGTTGCTTGAGTTACTTTGTCAACTACGTAAGTTGTCATACCCTACTTGTTTGGCTCATTCATGTACTGACTCTGTATAGCTTGACCGAAATAATATCAACAATGCCTACGTTTCTGGAATGAAGGAGGACCTTGGGTTCGAGGGTGACCAGCTGAACCAGATCTTTACTTGCTTCACTGTTGGGTAAGCCCACCTCCATATCATGTCCCCTTCTTACCATAAACACATTCTAACAAGTCACAGCTATGTCATTGGCCAAGTTCCCTCCAACCTCTCCCTCCAGTACATCAAGCCTCGTATCTGGTTCCCTCTCATGATGGTTCTCTGGGGCGGTCTCACCATGGCCACTGCCTCCGTACAGAGCCCCAAGTCCATCATGGCAATTCGCTTCTTCCAGGGCATCTGCGAAGCCTCAACCTTTGTCGGAACACACTACATCCTCGGATCTTGGTATACAGAGAGAGAACTGGGCAAGCGAAGTGGTATCTTTACGGCTTCTGGCCTGGCAGGAACTATGATTGGAGGCTTCATCCAGACAGGTATTCACTCAAGTATGGATGGTCGAAATGGATTGACTGGTTGGCGATGGCTCTTCATTATTGATGGCCTCATTACCATCCCCGTTGCTCTCTACGGCTTCTTTCTGTTCCCCGATACACCGCATACGACCACCGCCTTTTACCTCTCTGAAGAGGAACGAGCCCTCGCCAAATCCCGTGTTCCTCCCGCTGAAGAGCGACCTAAACTCACCTTCGGCTATGGAAAGATGGTTCTCACGTCGTGGTTTTGGTGGGGATTCGTTATTCTCTGGGTCATCGCCGGTGAGACCGAGTCCTTCAGCACCAACGCCCTCTTCGCCCTCTTCCTCCAGAACCATCCGACCGAAACATACACTGTCGCCCAGAAGAACAACTATCCCAGTGGTGTGCCAGCCGTTGGTATTGTATCTACGCTGTTTTGGGCAACATTGACCGACTTTCTGTCTGGAAAGCGATGGCTTGTTGGATACTTCATTGGCCTCACTGGAATCGCTACAGCTATCATGGTCTTGGTTGCTTCCAAAGATCCTACGAACCCACACTCTACCACGGTCGTATATGCAGCTTACTACTGGGCCGGTTCTGTCTACGCGTGCCAGGCTACCTTCTTCGCTTGGTGCAACGATGTCATGCGTCACGAATCAGCCATGTTCCGTGGTATCGTGTTGGCTGGTATGAACACGGGCAGCAATACCATCAATGCTTGGTGGAGCATCGTCTTTTATGGTGCCTCAATGGCTCCTTGGTTCATTGTAAGTTTCCTATCGTTTAATGTTGACTGGCCTTGACAGAGTACTAACATATCATTAGCGAGGCATGTGGGCAATGATTGCTGTTAGCATCGCCATGATCATCTGGTGTACAGCTTTGACTTACAAGTGCCACAAGTATATGTCCAATGTAGTGATTGCTTGTGAGAGAGAAAGCCTGGAACATGAGAAGCAGGTTGTCGGCAAGGAGGATGCTTGAGTGGTCTGGTTCGTATTATTCTGCCTTCTTGATGAATTGTCTAGCGTTCTTTGCGATGGGAGTTAGTTGATATACTTGAAGCGTCTTCGTGCATCTCAGTTTCTCACATTGGTTTGCCATATCATTCTCGGTTTTATGAGACTTGAAGATTTGCCTAAAGGACTCCGTGCAATGTATTTCCATTTGACAATGGCTAACTACTAACCTATCCTCGTTCCTCCCCATCTTGACTATCCAATACGCCCTCCAGTTCCTTCGTATCAAAGCAAAACGCCAAATGTTGTTCCCTAATGCCCTCTGGGGTAATGATGCATTCACACCCGTAATAAACCATGGTATCTGTTCCAAAACCCGAGATTTTGTACCAGTAAACGATCGTCGTGAAACGTATGAGTATCCTATGTAAAGCGATTGTGACCTTTTATAAACTCCGATGAACCGCCGTTCTATCTGACTAAGAAAATATGTGATTAAGAAGTGAAAAATGGAAAGTGGTGACTGGTTTTGGCTTAACCGTAGAACCAGTAGAGGGTGCTGTAAGAGGTGCTGTCGGTGCCCTTGGCCTTGCAGCCGTGAGAAACACCTCCAGCAGTGTTGACGCGATAGACGTAGGAGACACCAATGCTACCACCAGCGTCGCCAAGGTAGAGCCAGTCAACAGCGCCGGTACCGTCAGGGCCAGCGGAGGCAGTGGAAGGAGCCTTGATACCGTCGAGCTTCTTGCAGACGAGAAGCTGGTTGGCCTTGTCGAGGTCAAAGGTAGGAACTCCAGCGGCGTTGAAGAAGTGATGTCCGAGGTAGGGGAGCTTCTTCTGGAGACCTTGGACCTTGAGATCTTGCTTCTTAGGGAAAGGGTTGGTAGTAGAAGCTCCAACGCCGTTGGTGTTGAGGTTGAGAGGGACCTTTCCGGTGCTGAGAACGTCACCAGTGAAAGAGGCCCATTTTTCGGGAGTTAGAGATGAAGGGCCTTGGCCTGGGTAGAGATGAGTGATGTCGTAGAGAACAGCCAGAGCACCGATGGCAGCGGGAGCGGCAGCGGCATCAGCGCAGGTGTAGTTCTGAATACCGAAGCCAAAAGCGATGTGCTTGAGAGTGACACCTTGAGGAGGAGCAGGGAGTTCAGTAGCTTTAACTAATGTTAGTGAAACTGAGGATGTATAAGTCGGTTGAGTTAAGACTTACCACCACCATTGACTGGGAGGACAGGAGTAGGCTTTCCAGGCTTGCAGCTAGAACCAGGTCCAAAGGTAGCAAGAGGAGAAGCCAGAGCCAAAGTGGCAGAGGCAAGGACGAGAAGGGAGTTGGCGAGCATGGTTGATGATGATGTAGGAGACCGAAAGCAACTTTCTGAGACACCGGACTATGACAATGCGTCTTTAAGGAGGTAGAAGATGGTGTCGATCGTGAGGAGGTAATGGGGAATTAAAGCACCAACGACGACGAAAGAAGCAGTGATAGTAGAATAGAAAGGGTGATAGAGGGAGAGCAGAAGGCAGTCTTGTATAGAATCGGCGGCAACAACAAGTACAAGGGCGGCAATGCTAATAATAAACGCAACGAGCAAGGGGTCTAAGTGGATGGGGCGTTTCCACCTGGGCGCTTATAATGAGAGTTGGTGTGGTGAGTGCAGAAGAAAAGAAGCGGGGATACGAAATGCAGTGGTTGCCAGAACCAGACAAGACTTGTAATAAGAATAGAAGAAGACTAGACTGTAATAGAAATTGTTGATTGTGGTTGAAGAACGAGGTCGTGATAGACTTTATATACAAAACTAGGTAGATAGTTCAAACTCTACTGCGCCCTATCTAGGCAGATTTTGAGATAGACACGAAACCCAACAAACGGAACAGAACAAGATAGTTTCTCCTTCGTTTCTGTTTCCTGCGTCTCCTCGCCAAAAACTCAGACGAAAACGATGCAGGCAAACATCCATGGACTAGGCCTCGAAACGCGGGCGGAGGCGAGAGAGAGCGAGAGTGAGACCCTTGTAAGTGGAGGGTGCAGGGATCGAATAGTGCAATGCAACGCTGTTCGCTTGGGGGAGGAGGAGGCAGAGGAGGGAAATTGATCTAAATGGAAGGGCGGCCGCGTTGAGAGGCGACCCTAGCGCGGGCGGAAGCGTCGTTTTCTTGAGGTGTAAGCAGGGATCATAGTTGTATTCGGCTTGGTGTTGCCGTCAGCAGAGAGTGAGCTTCTCTCTCGTCTCAGTTGAGAGTCTGAGATGTCAGAGGAGGAATGAATGAGGAAATGGCTAAAGTGGTTAATTAACAGCGTGTTTGATGTTTACGGTTTGGTTTGGTTTGTTCGTTTTGTCTTCATCCTATATTACTACCATAACGACCAGAGGATCAGCCAGTGAAACGCAGAATCGCCCACCGTCGTCTGAACTTGTAACCTCTCAGGTATCATCTCTTGTCATCCTTGGCTCAGATCGGACAGAGCATCTTCCGCCCTGCGCCCCGCGGGCCAAGACGGCAAGCCCATCGTCTACGTAGTAATTATTTACTATTTGCATACCACCTACTACTAAGACAAGGACACGATGTTATAAGCGGGAAAGGTCAAGGATGCAGGAATCGTAAGAGAGCAAACATAGCTATCCAATATTATAAGCAAGGTCCGGGTTCAGGTCCAGGGCCCCGGGGTCAACCACCTGCATCTAGAATGTGGTATTAGAGCATGTACGGATACAGTACAGATGTGGACTACGAGTAATGTAGGAGACACGGAGGAGTCTAATAGTTTCCAAGAGTCTCACCTGAAGATGAGAAACGTAGACAAAAAGTAAAAAAATGAGTGTGAGAGATAGACAGAGTCCGTAGAAAGCCATCTCATTTATCTCAAACATCGGGCCCTGGCAGTTTCAGCTGTGTTCTAGTGTACGCTACTGCACGAAACGACCGAGTCACTTTATATTTCATTTCCACTGCATTCTCCTCACATGAATTCGTATGAAATAATTAAAATTAAAATTTAATATTTCAAAGACTACAATAATTGATCGAGAAGACATACGGAGACGAGAATAGAGAAGAAATTGGGGAAATTAACCGCTCACAACCGCTCCGAGAGCTATAAGTGGCTCTTTCGGCCGCACCCTTCTCTTGGCTTGCGGCACGGGAAGGGAAGAAGAACTGCACTTTTTTAGCGGGAGGTTGGAGTCTAAACTATTCGCGTTTAGCTCAAAGGATTTGAGCTCAATCCTTAGCTTACGGTTTAGCTTATGGTCAGAGTATCCAATTCGAGGAGTTGGGTTGAATTGAGTTGAGAGGTTGGTGTAGGACGAGACTTAATCGGATCAAGTGTGGGAATTATAGCAATCTTGTGACACACTCTGGATGTTTGTTGTATGCAGGTAGTAAAATATGGGAGATGATGCTTGTCTAGGTAGGTGTTGGTTGATAATCTACTGATTGCGGTTGGCAAATGCATCGCTTGTTGGGTCTACCAGTTGTTGGTTATGACGGCGCTTGAAAGGCCAGGATATGTAGGTAGATTCAATGTTGGCTCCAACGTCTTTCAAGGCTTTCTTTGTTCTGAAATAACATTCATCATGTTGGTAAGATTGCTGCCAGCTCATTACCAACAGTAGTTACTGGGCTAGTTTTCTCGTCTGGTTATCTCTTTACTCCATTCAACAGCATATCATATGATTCGATAATTACAGCATCTATTGACCTGTTACGCGTTGCCGTGCCTTGGCTTTGCTGCATCTAATTGAGGCCCCCGTGCTGTAAATGCGGCCCCACTTGTCCATGACATCCATCGAAGATCGGCCTAGGTAGCGACCGGTCGCCAAAACAACCTAAACTCCAAACACCGCCCGATCTCTCCTCCATCTCCGTTTCCGCCTCCGCCTCCGCTCCGGCCCTCCACCGGCTTCAAGCACCGCCCATCATGTCTCGCCGACCTCCCAAGGGCGAGTACATCGAGACCGTAAGCTCCCTAAGCCCTGTATATCATTCGATGCTAACATTGCTATAGGACACTGGTAACAAGGTCGCTCGCAAAGCTGTCCTCGTCGGTACTCAAAACATCATGCTCGGCGGCAAGACCGTCATCCAACCTGAAGTCATGATCCGCGGTGATCTCGCTCGAACAGCCACATCGTCATCCTCTGGCACCGCGCCAGCGAACAACACAGCCGTCGCCATCGGCCGATACTGCTTCCTGGCTCGAGGTGTCCTGCTGCGTCCACCGGGCCGCATATACAAGGGCGCATTCACATACATGCCACTGCGCATAGGAGACCACGTCTTTGTTGGCCAAGGGACAGTAGTGCAAGCTGCAGCTGTGGGCAATCATGTGCAGATCGGAAAGGGGTGTACGATTGGAGAATTTGCTATCCTAAAGGACTACGTCAAGGTGTTGGATGGGACGGTTGTGCCGCCGAGTATGGTCATTCCAAGCTTTTCTATCGTTGCGGGACAACCAGCTCAGGTCATTGGGGAGATCCCTGAGGGAGGTTATGATGAGTTTGAGTTGAGGGATATGTACAAGACGGTGGGAAATAATCCCCATCCTCCAGCGTCATGACAATGTCGCGACAGGCCATGGGGTCGGTGTGCAAATCAGCAGAGAGGAGCATACATCTTATACGTTAGGAGGCAACGAGGTTGAAACATACCAGGACCTAAATGAAGGGCCACATCTCAAGGCGAGATAATCCACAGCCTGCACCTACGACTCTACAATTGTCGATGGGACGGCGGGAATGGACTCTGGCAGGATTCATCCCTAGGTTCAGTTGGAACAAAGGAACCCCTCTACAGACATTGATGGACAAAACCAGGCTCCAAGAACCTGCCTGGCCCTTCAAAGCATATAAACAAACAAGGCGATATTCACGGGAGGATCAAGTTAGTTATTTAGATACATGTTAATGATACCCTTTTATGCGTACGTATTTCTTCTATTGTTGATTTTCGTCTCCTATTGTTTACGCGTCCCAGTTTCACTCTCGTCAAACGTCATCTGACCAACAATCAACAATAGAGAGCCATATACCGCAACCACGACGATACTGCCTGAAGTTGACGATACTCCTATTGTCCGTCTGCAGTGCTTAGTCTTTACTCTTCTGCCTCGTTTTCTTATCCTCTCGCACATATATTTATTCAGATCTCCCTCCACCTCCCACCATCAATTCCGTCCAGACACATATCTCTGCCAGATCCTATCATTCGCTAACAACAATTCTCACTCAGAACCACGACAACAACAACCAACAAGCATCAGTCATGTCTCCCCCAGCGCTCCCCTCCAAGCTTGCCACCGTCCCCTGGTTGGAGGCTCTTAACAGCGAGGTCGACTCGCGCAGGTCCGAATCATCTCCAGGCTCATTCGCTCTAACCGTCCCTCATGCCATCATCCGAAATACTCATCTCTACAACCAGCTCCGCTACGCTGAAGACCTCGACAACCGATCCCTCAAGGACGTCATCGCTCCTCTCTGTCAAGAAATCGCACACTTTCAGAAGCAAGACAACAATGAGATGTACGGCCTCTCCAAGACCATCATTATCAAGTACGGTGAGACTTCTCTCCGCGTCATCCGTCGCATGTTGGACCTCAGTCTGGTCTACAACTCTCGCCCTGAGATCCCTGGCGACATTCCTCTGGTCTTCGCTCAGGGTACTTGGTCTGGTACCCTCCGCGACACTGTTCTGTACCGTATGCATGTCCGTCTTCTTCGCAATCAGCTTAGCAATGCTCTCGCCGCTTAGTATGCCGAGGGCTTCAAGATTGCGAACCACAACCAGTTCAAGAACGGCGCTTACGTCACCGACGTTCTTACTCAGGATCACCGCGACCGAGTCGAGCGTGCCGCCAAGGAACGTGAAGTTCTGTCCGCTGTTTGGCAAGAAGTTACTGAGAGCTCTAAGCTCAAATTCTCCAGCTCTACGTGCCTAGGCATGACAAAAGAGTCTGCCCTAGAGCTCTGCGTCGAGACTGTCGAGAACTTTCACGAGAAGCTTGACAGAGTCTCAGATGACAAGGAGTATGAGCTTTATGTAGGGGATACAGAAGAGGTTCACCGTCATCAGGCCCGTCAGCTGTTGCATATTGCAGTCCGAGCTGCTGCCAGTTGGGAGCCTCGACAACCCGGATCTTCAGACAATATTTTGGCTATGTACTGTCAAGACATGCTCCGACGCCGTAGGAACGATATCCGCAAGCAGAATGCAGAGCTGCGACAGCAGCTTGAGGCCATTCTTGGAGATACTCGTGGAGGACAGGTCGGCATGGGCAGTAATGGTGAGAGCGAATATGACAGTGATGATGAGTCTGAGGATTCTGATGATTCTGATCTTCCTATGTTTGGCCACTACACCTAAGGAAGCTCACCCTTTTGTGGGCTTTTGCGATTGGTGTCTAGTTTGTTTTACACATCACCGAAGGGTAGCCCGTTTCTTGGTAAATGATTGATATTGAGGTTTAACAAAGTACTTCCGCAGGGGTTTGACAACACATGGCAGAGAGCAGAGTATAGGTCTGGGGTTGGGACAGATCAGTGCAAATTTTACAGTTGCTATGTCATATAGATGGCAACACTGGCTAGCGAACCTCTCATGGGTTTCAGGGTATCTTCCCAAATTAAACAGCTTCGGTATATGTGTTAGAGCCAACGAAGCATTATGTGATCAAAAGAAGTCTTCTCTCGGCAAGATGTGATTACCAAATATGCTGTGTTTTGCCTCGTGTAAAGTTTGTATCTTCATCAGGCGTATTCCTTTAACGCCTCTGATATCATGACAGAGACAGCCACTTTGGCGAGACATTGTCTTTGAAGAAATACTTTTAAATAATAAGAGTTTGACACTACTCAAGAGTTCTTTAATAGTAACAAAGGTGTGAACTGTAGGCATGGCAAGCACACAAACTGCCATGTATTCACTCAAGATCCGAGATTAAGCAACTTGGCGATCATTAAACATGACTAGGTATTGTGATATATCATGGACCTATCTATCAAGAAGTCTTGGGCCTCAGGATTTTCATGACCTGGTCTTCATGACACTCATGAACTTCTCATGCTTTACTTGCCCATGCTCGGCCCAACAGCGAATTTTATTCTGCAAGCCACACCCAATTCGAAAGATCATAGAGTTTCATACAAGCCCGATCTAATCATAGAACAAAGCATCGACTTCCGACAATCCCATCTTTAGACTTTCCTAGTCACCCACCCCTCAAAGTCCCAAACCGGCTGCTGCGGGGAAAGAAGGGTCACGAACCACCGATGCTCGGCCAGATGGGAATGGGGAGACAAAAGGTGTGAGCCATTCGGCACTAGAAATAGCGAATGCCGGGCAAAGGCCGTTGAGAAGCGATCGAGTGTGGGTGAGTGCATACGTTCAGCCGAGCGGCTATGTTAGTAACAGATTTGAGAAACAGTAGCTAGATATGTAGTCACTGTGGATGAGAAAGCAGATATAATAAAAGTAATAGGTTTCATGATTAAGTATTCTAATCAGTGACTCTATCAAGAAGCCCGTTCTAGGCGATGAACCCGAGGCAATTCCTCGGGGTCCATGTGCTCTCGACTGTCTAATAGACCGGGGGTATAGTCCGAACAACTCCAAAACGCAAGGCATTGATGTAATGTAATGATGTATCATGCCGAAATAAGCAAAGTCCTCTTTTTGTGTATAGCTTTTGAACAACCTTCTAAACGCCAGTAAAATGCTGCAAGTGTCATCTACTCCTCTCTTTTAAATATCGCGCGCCAGTCTTTTATGCCGTGTCGTCGTTAAATAGTGTAGCGGTGAGTAGTGGAGATTTGGTGTCGTGTGTGCAACCCTTGGAGATAAGGGACTGCGGGTCGGAGATAAGGCGTGATTCATACGTGATGGTAAACTCATAGAATCTGGCGCGCCTTCTCCTCGGCGAAAGCCTTGCGGCTCATCATCAGAACGCGCTCGAAGCCCTCACGGCCCTTGACAGCGTTCTCGCGGAAGCGGGACACCATGGTGTCCTCGATGCTGTTCTTGATTCGCTGCCAGCCACCGCAGAGAGCAGTGATATTGGCGTTCTGGATGAACTGTGTTTGGTGGTCGCCGAGGGGCTTGTAGACGACCTCCTCCTGAACGTTGACGAGGTTGCTCCATGTCAAGTTCTGGCTAACCATTGTGACGGTCTTGTTGATGGGATCGACGTAGCTAGCCTCATACATGAAGCTCTCGTCGCCAGTGCCACCGATGATGGCCTTGATCCAATCGGGCACGGTTTGCTTGCAGGTGATCAGACGCTCGGTGCGAAGGATACCGGTCGCGGGGTCGACATCGCGGGAGAGGGTGTCAACGGCAATGACATGCTCAGACTTGTTGTTCCAGGGGCCGTACTTTGTCCAGTTTGCTGTGGACACCTCGTCCCAGGAGTAGTTGTATGTGACCTTGTTGCTGAAGACCTTCATTTTGATGATGAAGGCTCGTTGAGGTTTATGTCGGAGTTTGGTTGTTGTGGAAGAGAGAAGTTGCTCGCGTGGGGAGTCAGAAACTTTTTTTTTCTTCAGGTGTAGAAGCTAACAGCTTGTGAAAGAAAGAGGAGACTCTATTTTGTGAAGAATCAGAAAATCAAAGAAGTAAAAGAAAGTGGACGCCTTTCTTATTATATCAGTCGCAAAGACGAAGATATACAAGATGCTCCAGTGGCGATGGAGAGTGACGGAAGTGAGGGTAAAGATGAGCGCTGGACGGAGATGGATGGCAATGGATGGCGATGCGGCCTTTTTAATTGGGGACACCGCCCTGACTCCTCCCTCCCACACGCCTGTAAGAAAAAATTATCCCATGTGAAGGAGGGTACTCGCTATCGCCGGCCATCGGCTCTGGGCCCGAGCACATCCGCGTTCAGCCACTAAACCCGATATGTCACAGCACTAACTCTACAGGGCAAAGCCTCTCGATCGCGATAAAGCCTCGGGATATTGAGAAGCAATGATTGGCTCGGTCTGCAGGAGGTCGGAGCTCGATTTGCTGGTCTCGTGCATTGCTGGAAGAGCGACTGTGCCACAGAGTGGCGAGTGCGTCAATGATGGGGAAAAACCGGAGAACGATGAAGCTAAGCGTTGGTGATCAACGTCAAGCATTGGTCAACTTGTCGCTGTGAGGCTCGATATGGGGAAGGGATTAACGCGGGTGAGAAGATCAAGTTTCAAGGGTCTTGGTCTGTGGAATGTACAAGAATCGATACAGAAACTCGAGATAGCATCAGTCATTTTCTACGGTACGTATTCCAAGATTAGATACTCAGATCGATCGATCATCTTGCAGCCGTCAGAATGGGCAGTTGATTGCATTGGGGGTCATGGCTACGCAATTTATACCAACGTAGCAATGCATAACCTGCCAGGTTCTTGCATACACATTGGTGTTACTGGTATTCAGGCTATTGGCCGCTGTAGTGCCTAGGGGAGGAAAGAAAACACAGAACCTCGATCCTAAATGACAAAAATACTTAGGGAATATAGTCTAAGCTTAGGATAGCTTTTGATGAGTTTATTTTGGCACCCTAAACTTAGGTTCGCTGTTTTCTTGCCCCCCGCGGGAGTGCTTCATCAATCATGCCATGAACCAATCTACAAGTCTTCCTACACTGTTGGCTATGCCATATATTCCGTAACGTAAATCATATTTTGTGTTTATTTACATAGTCAAACTTGTTCGCGTCGAAAGAGGAGAGTCATATTTCAGAGTCCATCTCACAATTCGCTCCATGACATACATAGTAGAAGATCCGTCTAGTAGTCATCTCCACGGCTGATGACCTCCTTCACGGTGGGTCGAATCAGAATGGTCTAAGATCTGTTAGTCACTATCACGACCTGCACGTCAATGATTCACTTACATGCTCAAACTGAGCAGTGTACGAGCCCTTCTTGTCACACAAGGGCGGGTATGCTTCGACGATACCAGCGTTGACCAGATTGTTGAGCTGTAAACTGTTAGCAGTGGTTCCTTTTCTTGTCGGCATCAACACATACTCCAAGTAGATACTTGTCCTGGCCAAGACGGTCCAGATATCGGCGGCAGAACGGCAGGGTGCCAAAGTTCTTGTTAATCACGTTAAGCAGGGACTTGGCCGAGCTCAAGCGGAGATCAACGTGCTGCGAGTCTCCTCGCTTAGCATAGTGCGACGTCTCCATATCGTCGCGGACGTATCCGTTACCAGTACTTCCAAAGGTCTCAATGGCAAAGACATCGCCTTCCTCCATCTTGGTCTGATCGTTACTCTTGACAATGGGTACGGCCTTGGTTCCGTGGATGCTGTAGGGCAGAATGTTGTGGCCTGTGAGGTTGCGGATACTCTTGACGGGATAGGTGGTGCCGTCGATCTCAACCTCGAAACTCTCCATAGTCTCCTGGATGACACCACCAATTTCACCGACGCGGGCATCGATACCGGCCTCGCGAATACCGGCGTTGGTGGCCTCCTGAACGGCCTTGAGAAGGTTGTCGTACTTGTTGTCGAAAGACATGGTAAAGGCAGAGTCGACAATACGGCCGTTGACGTGGACACCGAAATCGACCTTCATGACATCCTCCTGCTGGAGAACCATCTTGTTACCGGCATTGGGAGTGTAATGCGCGGCGCAGTGGTTGAGACTCAGACCACAAGGGAAACCCATACCAGCCTTGATACTATCACCCTCCTCCAGTCCTGCGTGTCCGGTAAGAGCGCGAACACCATCCTCAATTCCCTCAGCGATCTGAGTCAAGGTCTGCCCAGGCTTGACATTCTTCTGAGTCCACTGTCGAACCTGGCGATGAATCTCGGCTGCCTCACGGTAGTCGGCCAAGAAGTCGCTGTTCAGGTTGTCGAGATGGCGCTTCTCCTCATCGGTAGTTCGGTAGTTGTTCTCGTCCTTGTATTCAACCTCCTCGCCGCGGGGATAGGACTTGTTAGGGAACAACTGGCTGACCTGGACTCGAGGAGGGTCGCTCTGGCTAGTGGGGTTCTTCTTCTTCTTCTTCCTGGGCTTTCTCTTCTTCTTCTTTTTGGCGGCTCCCTCGGCGGGAGCAGTGCCGTTGGCTTCGTCTTCGGAATCATCTTCGCCGTGATCGTCTCCGCCAGCGTCGGTCTTTGATTGTGTGTTTGCGCCGGGCTTCTGAGAGCCATCGGCCACTGCGGGGCAACCGTTGTCAGTATTTTTTGGTCCATACGTTTTCACATGATAGTTCACCGCTGAGTAGACCGTAAACGTAGGAACTTACCGTTGAGCTCCTTGAGAGCTTCAGTGGGGACTTGGGCTGCCATCTTGGCTAACTGCGCATGAGTGAGAGCTGCGAAAAAAGAGAGAATTTGGTGGGAGGGTTGGATGAGTGGGAAGATGTCACACCCCACCAAGAATTTGACTTCTATCGACAGAAATACTTGGACAGGCTTTGGTCTCGATGGGGACAAGTATTTCTGTCTGGTCTAGTCCCCGCTGACAGATTTTTGACATGACGAAAGTGGATTGGACACCCATGCCAATGATACGCGAGGCGGTTAATCGTCAGAGAGCGACTGAGGCTTCGAATATGGATTGGATCACAATTGCTGCTCTTGATGTTTATAAATAGCGCTCAAGCTGTCGTAATCGGCAATTACTTACAACCCATGCCTTTGCCAAACATCAAACTCTTAGTAAATCTTGTGACGACCTATTGGATATAAATGATGTTTGATGGATGATCTAAGTCACTACATGGCTTGGTTTCACAGCACGGTATTGGCGATGTAGATGCCGTACTGCCATATGCTGTGACGTTTGCTATGGCTGTCAGTGTGTTTCAGTGAATTCAGAAGCACCTCTGTTCCTGTGACAAGACGCTGATCCTTTCTCACGCCGCGACCCTGCAGTACCCGATCTGGACTAAATTATCTTGAGGACCACTAACAAGTTCTTTCTCAATACAATTACTCAGAATGGAGATATTTTTCATGCCTTCAGCCATTACAAAATGGCGGTTTCACGACATCTCTAGGGTACCCAATCCCCGTGCAGTCCAATGTATGACCTCACAAGCAGCCAAAAAACCAAGCTAATGCCGCTGAAATTCAGGGCATCGTCAGCCAAACAAGGGTAGCCACCAGGTCATAAGTCAGTTTGCCGCTTCATGGACAAGAAACCCGACCCGACCTAAAACGCCACGTCTCCCCCCTTTTCCCAGAACCAGGAATCTCGTGATAACTTCATAAAGACCTCCCGCTTCACGAACCTAAGCCACTGCCATTCCGTTTACGCTTACGACGCATCAAAACTACTTCTAAGTTCTCCACTGCGGCCGGTCCCTTATAAGCTGGAGACCGTTCTGTTAGCGGCGCCACTTACGGGCCGTTTGTATGCCCCTCTGCGATTGGATTCCCTCACTTGATTAAGCTCAACTTGTACTGCAACCTTGGTCTTTCACGACTCGCGATATCTTTTAGTTTTTGAAGATCCTCTGGGTCAATATGACGGAAAATCATACAGAGGCCAACGCCTCAACCACTGCGAAATCCCCCATTGAGCGCAAGCCCGTGAGAGGCATCCCTCCTGAGAGTCCTTCTGTCGAACGAACCCCGACTCTTCCTCCACGACCAGCGCAAGACTCTGACGAAAAGACCCCTGAAGCTCCAAAATGCGATACTTGCTCTGTACCTAAAAAGGCTGGTTCTACAAGAAGCAAATCTCCTCCTACACCGATCAAGGTCGACAAGACGCAGCCCGAAGATTTTGAAGGCGAACTTGCGACCAACAACGACCTACCCTCCGCCGAAACCCTCAAGAAGATCGAAAACTACATCGTTCTCGACAGACACGGAAAATCACACCCTTTCAAGACCCTTTATACAGGTAGCAACGTTGCACGACGCGTGCTCATCATCTTCGTTAGACATTTCTTCTGTGGCGTATGTCGTGACCCCTTCGTCTCGTGGTCGTTTCAAGTTACTGATATTGTCCCTCTAGAACTGCCAAGAGTTTCTGCGCTCTTTGTCCGATGCTATCACTCCTGAAGCTCTCTTGCGCCTACCAGTGAGCACATTCATTGCGGTTATTGGGTGTGGTGATCCTGCGCTCATTGATATGTATGTCAATGAGACGGGATGTCGCTTTCCCGTGTATACCGATCCGACGAGGTCCCTTTTCGATGCCCTTGGCATGTCAAAGACGCTGCAACTAGGCACCAAGCCAGCCTACATGCGCCGAAGCATGATGCACAGCATTGTTGGCAGCATTGTCCAAGGCGTGAAGCAAATCCCAACCGGAAACGTTCTCAAGATGGGCGACCAGCGTCAAGTCGGCGGCGAGTTCCTCTTTGAGCCACGAGACATCCTCACACCCATCTCAACACCACGAGACGAAAAGCCGAAGCCCATTAGCGCATTTGAAGAAGCAGAAGAACGAGGCCCAGACCACGATGGAAACGAGGAGAAGAGAGTCACATGGTGCCATCGCATGAAGACGACGCGCGATCACGCTGAGATTCCTGAGCTCATTGAAGTGCTGGGTCTAGACCAGACCGCTACCGCTGGACGGGACGTGAGTCGTGCCTCGATCACTTCAGCGCGCAAGGGCAAGGGGCATAGCATGGCGCAAGAGATTCGCAAGCTGAGCGCGGAACGATCTAGGACATCGAACGAAACATGATGCGACTGCGAACTGAGTGGGCTACTGGATTTGAGCGAATTTGAGCATTGCTGGTTCTTATTACAGCGTTGGAGTAGGTTTTGGTTACATTGGCATAGCTTGCGTTTTGGAAAGACTACGATGATACGGTTAGAGAGATTTAGATGAGATATCCTTTGACGTTGGTCGATAGAATGCACAAAGTATTTATTATTTCTCTATTCAGGTCTTCTATTCATGGACCCAGCTTCCATCTTCTCGACTTTGGATCACCTCGTCTACTTTGAGCCTAAAGTCAATGATTTCTTTACCATTTACTAGATCATTCTCCATGGCCCTTCTGTCTCCCTCTTCAAGATCCTTCACAATACCTGCTCTTACATGCCTCTCCCTAAGCCGCCTCCTCGCGACCTCAAATTCCACCTCGACGAACCACACCTCATCCAGAAGCTTCGCCGCATCTCGCCAGATATCTTGATCTAGCGCAAGATAGTTCCCCTCAAGTACAACAACACGATGCTCTGGTTTGACGACGATATCGTCGTCTCGGGGATCCTTCAGCGCATGATCAAAAGATGGCGCAAGAATTGGCTCTGATGGAATTGGTCTCTTGGAGAGTGCTTGGACAAGGGTGAGGAACTTGGGCGCATCAAAGGTAAAGGCTGCGCCGCGGCGGAAGTGAGCTGTATCAGGGTCTGGCATGGCCGAGAGGGCGGCGCGGGTGAGATGGAAGCCGTCCATGGGAACGAATGTTGCTGGAGGAGGAGATGAGGGATCTGAAGAGGAGGCGCGGGTATTGATTCGATCGGTCATGATCTGTGAGAAGGTTGTTTTGCCTGAATAGTTGTGAGTGTTAAAGCTTGAGGTCGACGGGGTTTACTGACCTGAGCCGGGAATGCCAGCAACGCCGATCACTGGAAATGTTAGTTAGATAATCCATTTGATTCGGTAGAGAGTATATCGATATAGAGGAGGGCGACGTCTCAGCTCATGAGAGCTCCATTGAAAGAAGATGAGTCTTGACGAGTACTCACATAATCTCTTATCCTTTGGCGTTTCCTCATACTTCTTCCACGCCTTCTCAACAAGCCTTTCAACCTGGGTCTCCATATTTGCGAATTATGTTGTAAACTAAGAATGAAATGAGTTAAAGAAGTGGTCAAGAGCTTGAATGTCGTTGGAATATAATATGCCCCGCGTCGAGACGTGGCCCCACGTTGTTACATCACAGCTATCCACCCCTGTAAATCCAAGGATTGATAACTGCAGTACTTCACAATCAAGTGTAACTTATCTCATACTTACCAATTCACCAGGGTCGCCATGTATGTGAACTCAGTAGAGTTAATCAAATCTGTAGCATTGAATTATAAATGATCAAAAAATTTGGGCCAGTTAGCCTAGATATAGAGGCTTCTTCGATAAGTTTGTTTCAACATCGTCTTTTCTTGCTTCCGGGGACGAGGTCTATATCCATCTTATTTACAAGACGAGGGACCATACCAGACGCACAGCATGAGGAGCAATACTGCGTAGTGATCTTTATATCAACAAGAGATTTGAATATGAAACTACCTACTAATGCAGAGATTCAACCAACTACAGCCAAGTAATCAATGCCCTTTCCATCCAACCATTAATTACACATCATATCCAAGTGGGTCCTTTCCTGTCATCGACCCAAAAACTCAATATTTACTCTCCTCCCTCCATCCTCCTTCACAGCCAAAACTAAACCACAAAATGGATGACGAAGATCCCCTCGCCAACTTCGCCTTCGCAGATGTATCTTCAGATGAAGCCGATGAAGCAGAGGCGACAAAGTCCCGCCGCACAGGACAGTCAGAAGAAGCTTGGCGAGTAGTCCAGAAGGAGTACAAGCCAAAGGTTGAGAACGGCGATGTAAGTGAACCGTGGCGTAAATAGGGATATCTAGCACTGACATGGACAAGATTTACCAGAAAGTCAAGCTCCCAATTGGCCATAACGCCACCAAGATGGATATTCAAGAGGTTATCCATGCCGTTGAAGAACACTACTTCTTCCACCGTTATAGAGAAGCCGAGAAACTAGCTGTTGAGGCCTTGAAGGATGGCCAAGGACTCGACCGTGACTCTAGACAGTTGCTGGAAGCATATAGAGACAGATGCCACGGGAAACACAAACAATCCTAAACACATTCACACAACCAGCAACCGAAAGGATCCAGACAGTTTGCTTTATTGCGCTGGGTACGCTGGGACTATCTCAATTTCTACAAACATGCCTTAGTCGCTTCCATTGCCCATCGAGAGGCCGATCTCCAAAATTACCCTTGAAAGCACTCGTTGAAGAACCTTCATTACAGCGAATGCCCCAACTACCAGGCCCAAAAGAGAGATCCTCTACACCAAATATGTCACCAGCTTTCCCCAGGCTTTCTGTCCTCCTACATGGCGGCATCAAGCTCAGTACTTGATCGGGCCAGTGAATCTGCCTTGGAATGTCGCCGGCTTTTTGGCAAAACGTGAAGAACCCAAGCCCTTAGGCATTCCGAGCACAGAGCGGTTGGTTGAATCCTCCACCTGCTTCGGATTCTTCTCCTGTTGGTCAGTTGCACCACCAGGACCTGTAGCATTGAAATTGACAGGAATCTCAACTGCTTTGGTATCTCCGAGGACCGGCTTGCCCGCCATGTTGAGGCAGGTACGAATGATGTCTAAGAGACCCTCTCGCACTTGCTCGCCACGCTCATGCAGCGGACCGTGGCTAAGAGCCTGGTCAAGGATTTCATACTCAATCCCATCGATACTCTGACTAGAGTGGTTCCCCAGGGCAGCGACCTGCTCCAGAACCTGGTTTAACAACTGACTAAGCTGTACGGTTTCATGCCCCAGGCTGTGAATGTTGCTGTTAGCTGGCGCTCCCCAAGTGTCATCCATCATGATAAGGGGCTCTTGGTCCGCGCTGGGCACCTGTTGAGAAGAACCGTTGACGACGGGGATTGAAGTATCGGACGCCGTTTCCGCAATGGGGCTGGCGGCCATCAAGAGGTCGTCGTCGTCCTCCGCCTTGCTTTCCTTAATCTGAGACTTGTCGGTGTTTTGCTTCTGATGATCTAGCAGAGCATTCTGAAGCTTGATCAGATTCATCTTGAAATCCTGCGCATCGCTAACTGTAGCAAAGCGAAGCTTCTCAGAGAAGGGCCTAGTCTTCACTTTGATGGTACACAAGAGTCCGTCGAGGACTGGCTGCTCGAGTTCGAGAGCATTGTGGATTCGGAGGCCCTTAGTGTCATTTCGAATCTCTAGAATGCCATCGCTCTCTGCGATGATCTTGACAGCAATGTGTGTGACAATACTGAGTGCCTCAGCCTTCCCGGGAATGAGGTGGCACTGGCTTTTGTACAACTCAAATGCAATAGGTTCCTGGGCATCCTCATCCTGCTCTTCCGTGATGTGAGTAGGCGGAGGCGAAGGCTCTTCACGATTGGTTCGAGAGGCTGTCTCCGTAGGTCCAGGGCCCCATCTCGCTGTGGCCATATTAACATTATACTGTTCTATAATTCTCATCACACAGGGCTTCTAACCGGGTGTCGTGGGTTTGAACTGAACGTGAGTTCCCCGAGACTGACGTGTAGCGGGCGCTCTACCGGAAGCAGGGATAGCTGGAGCATTTCTATCGAAGGTGTTAGAAGATCTAATTGCTGTAGGCAGAAAAACTTACTTGTGAACTATGATGTTCGGAAGATTCTCTCTTCTCTGGCCTTTTGCCCAAGGTCGTGCATCTTCGAGCTGAAGGCCCTCCATACTTTGGGACTCTGCATCGTTGATCTTGGCACCCCATAGGCTTTTGAGTTCAGTTTTCACAGAAACCGAAAAGTGGCCAGTTCCATTGTTTCGGCTTGGGGCATAAGTTGGGCCTCGATCTCTTCTCGTTTCATTGCTCAGAGGAAGTTCTTCCTGACGAAGGCGAGAGAGGTCGGCCTACCAGAATTTGTCAGTTATAAGGTCGCCGTATGGTATTGAGAAGATGATACAGAGGGCGCTAGCAGAGAAAGCAAATAGGACCCCCGTGATATGAATGGAACAATGAAAGTGAAGAGGAAGTCTTACCATTGTGGCCCGCATAACGGCGTCCGGGTCAATAGGGTTGCCCATTTGATGACCGCGAGCAGAACGGGTTGGGGTATATGATAGAAAGGTGACAAAGAGTGAATATTTATTTCCCCGTAGCGCTTGATGCAGTGATAGACTGTGATGGGCGCGCGAAAGAAGTAACAAGTGTTAACGGACAATGTTGTGGAGGAAAAGGTGAAGGGCAAAGACTCTATTAGAGTCGAGACAGGAGGGAGGGAGGATTTATTGAAGCCTCAAGGGAAGAGAAGGGAAGGTGAGAAAAGGAAAGATGCAGTCTCGCTCCTCCCCTCTGTTGTGGTGCGATGCCGGGGCAACCACGAAGAGTAAGAGGCAGGAGGCAAGATGCGAGATGCAGGCACCCGAAGAACTTTTCGTTTAATAAAAGACAAGTTGCAAGGAACTTTAGAAGGTATAACAGAAGGGAAATAGAAGAAGGAAGACTAGTATCAAACACTCTTGGACAGGTGAAGAGCTGTTTCTTGGTCTCGTGGAAAATTGTTGGAGGAGGGAAGGAGGAAAACCGAGAAGTGGGTGCGGATGCAATTTATAGCCAAGGTACCTAGGCACAGAGTGTGGCTAGGCCATGAGTCTCTGCAGCAGCAGAAAAAAAACCTGAAGAGCCTAGAGAAGCCACAGAGTGAAATTACCTACCTAAGCTTCTAGAAGCTTAGGGGTCGTTAATACTGAGATGATCAAAGTGTAGAGGGGAGTCAGTCTTCGTTTCAGGGGAGGCCACCTGAGGTGCAGGTGCTTGCTTGCCAACTGGCTGTCATATGTGCCCGGGGCGGGTGATTCTCAACCTACCTTACCTAGTGACGTGGCTTGGCCAAGCTGCTTCTACTATCCATTCCCACAACTGTCTCCCGGATCCCTGGCCCGGTATATGCATGATCTATCTTTGTTCTCTTCTGACTCCTCCAATGATAAGGCCCCAACGGATGCACCGACCCTTACAGATCGCCCTGACGGGAAGCTGCAGCTCGCTTCCTTAATTTCATCTACCAAGCAGGGACGCATCAAAGAATGTGATATGGCTGCACTGTTGTGATAGGCCAACTAGACACAAGATATCGACAAATGTTGAGCATTGACTTTAAGCAACAGCACAAACTACATAAGGCCAAAGACTGGTGACGGACTATTGCAGGTCAAGGATTGAGCTCTGCAGAGTCAAACCGCATTCCATTGTATCCAAAAGCATCGTTACCGACCTTCAAGGAGCGAAATACTTCTCCCAGAACCCCTCGAGAGTCATCAACTTAGCATCGCTCGACTGTCCCTTAGCCTCAACTGCCTTTGCCTTCAGCTCAGTAGCAGGGCCCAAGTCGTTAGGCACTCCATAGTACAAGCCGCCAGAGTGCTGACAGAAACCGAACATGTACTTGACAGTCTCAAATGATTGATCGCCGTAAGTCTCCATGCTCTTCCAGTCCTCAATGGGCACGAACCGGGCCTTGCTACCTGTCACTGACAAGCCATTAGCTAAAAGAACTCAACAGCTGGAACCACGACACTCACCTTTTCCGAACTCGGAAACAAGCTTCTCAGTCGTCTCGCTGGCGCTGATACCTTGGACAAGACACCCGTTGTACTTCTTGGGATCGAGGAAGATGCCATGAACAAGATCACCATAGTCATCTCCGATAGAAATGAAGGGAATCTCTTCATTACCGCCCCAGCGTGGAACACGTAGAGTGAGGTAATCCTCCTCGTCAGTGGTGAAAGGGAAACCGCCAAGAGCTGGGGCAAAATCTTCCACGAGATGGTTCTCCATGTACCAGCCTGGGCTAACAATGTTGACAGTCTCAAACCCCTTACTCTTTGCATACTCCCCGACAGCATGCTTCACTGTATTAAGTCAGTGTGGAGATTCCAAGTGGAAGGGAAGGAAAGAGAAGATGGCATACTGTCGAAAGCCTTGTTAGGAACCACTCCTCCAGTGGTTTCAGAGGCAGAGGCCATACCGCTGTACACAAAGTGACGGACCCCTGCCTCAGCGGCTGCATCCACGAGGCTCTTGCCGATATCAAGTTCGGTAGGTCCACCTTCTTGGTTCATTGACTGCAACTGTATCAGAGGAGAATCAAAATACCGATTTCAATGACTTACAGGATCGTCCGAGTTTGTATTGGCAAAGACTCCCCAGCTGCCCCTGAAAGCTTCAATCACCTCGTCCCTGACCAGACCGTCAGCCTTGACTACCTCAACACCATGCTCGGCGAGAGCCTTGGCCTTTCCGGACTCAGGATTGCGAGTGATTCCTCGGATCCTGAAGGACTGGGACTTGTTCTGAAGCAAGGACTGCACCACGCTGCCGCCCTGAGAGCCAGTGGCACCAAAGACAGTAATGAGCCTGGGAGAAGACATCGTTTTGATTTAATAGCAGGAAAAAAGGTATGCTTAAGATATTGCGTCTTATGATTGAGTGTTAATGATTTGGATACTGATGATAAGACGTTTTTCGTTTTCACAGATACGACCACTTCTTATATATCTGAACGAAATCCTCAACATCACAACCCAACTCCGCAGTCCACGATGCCATTGTCGTCACAATTTTGTGAATAAGTGATCTCGGGGCACGCGGCCACCGTAAGAGTCGGCGAACCAAGATAATGATTACCCCGATTGTCCATTTTCAGCAGCTGTGACAGCAAATTGACCAACCAGATGACAGCAGGATGGAAATGGAGTTTCTCATCATTTGTCTTGGCACTACTTTGCGGCTGTGGCTTACACGACACCCACTTTATGCTTTATTGGTATAAAGTGGATGTGATTATTAATTCCGCTCTCAACACCTGCAAGAGAGATTCTTGCGGAGGAGCGGACTTACACAGATGGGCTGAAGAAGGATCTGATGATTATTATCTAATGAATACTGAGTGAAATGGTAAGAGCTGAACATCCCACGGTAATGACTAAATGACTTCTGCCGCTTTCAATTGCTGACCACCCAGTCTCACAGCTCAGACTAAGGACACTCATTTTCTGGGAAGCTTTAGGTCTTAGACCACATTACGAGCCCTGCCGTCCATCAACAGCAGCGCCAAATGTTCTGCTTCAACACTGGTCTGGTGGTCTAGTGGTATGATTCTCGCTTAGGGAAAACCCTACAGCATTGCTTGCGAGAGGTCCCGGGTTCAATCCCCGGCCAGACCCTTCCTTTTGCACTTTTGTCATTAAATGACATCGTGATGTTTCTTTTTGTCTTAGGCCTCTCCTTGATGGCTGTCACGAACCCGAGAATGTCAGTATGACGGAGTGGCTGGTAAGCGTGTTGCCTGTTCATATTCCGAATTACAAGTGTTAATTTTACTACTAGAATCTGGGTCCCAAGTTTCTTACTCCTAGAGGAGAGGAGTTTGGCAATAACGGAGAGCAAATCTCCGATTGTTTTATTAGCGTTGGAAGCAAGTGCTTGATCAATCACCTGAGTTATGCACTCGAGTTGAGCAGCTCCCCTCTTGTAAAGTCAATGGATGCTCGAGTGCAATCAGTATACTGGAAGGCCTACCATTAAGTGATGAGCAAGAGAACGAATGCAGTGTCCACTACCCTGATAAAACACTATGTTGACTCTTGATTAGGCACGCGGCAATGTAACAAGAAAACAATACTTATTAGCTTTCCCCTCTACACTTGTCAGCAACATCTTCCCTCGCCCAACTCCACCGCCGAAAAGAAACAATGAGCCCAATGGAATGACTACTATGAAGGAGAGAACACAGAACAACATATAACGGCCGTTGAAGCCTACAGCCTATCTCTGACGTGAGTTATCAGGCAGTTCCCATCGCTGAACACTCTCATGAGGCGTGTGCGCATTCGCTGGGTTGGTATAGCCTGGGAGCTCAGGAGGCCTTGCTTCGCCAGCCATTTCCACACGAGCATCACGACCGTCCATCTCCAAGTTTGGTCTCCATCCTTCACCCGACATCTCATGTTGTCCTGAGACTTGGATGGGCGGACTGGGTGTCATGTTGGGGAAGTGATGAACCTCCCGCCCAGAAAGTTCACGTTGAACGCCAATACCAGATAATTCGTTGGTCTTGGATAGAGAAGAAACAGAAGAGATTGTTGAAGCTCCGACGGGCTTTCTTGGTAGAGTGTCCCTCCTCTCAGGCGTCGAAGGGGAGACAGACGTCACGACAGCAGGACCGCCGCCCGTTGTAACTTCGCTGAGGGGTTGAGTAGTGTGGGGGTATTGTGTGTTTTGTTGTCTTCTTCGTCTGACGAACCACCAAGCAAACACGCCAGCAGCGATGATTACGACTGGTACAGCGACGCTGACACCAATCTTGACGACAGAGATGCCATCATCCCCGTTCTTGGATGGTGCTGGGGATCCGTCCGAGTTGACCCAGTAGGTGGATGTTGCTTCGACGATTACTAGTGGCCAGAAAGTTAGCAGAAACTCTCGATAGGGCACGCACAGGAACAGTACCTGAAGCAACAGCAAAGGCACCATCACCATGAGCAGCAGGAACTTACCCTGCGTTCTGGAAGCACCGTCCTCTGCCGTTTGTGTGACAATGGTCATGTGCGTTGAAGTCGCGTCACCACCTGAGTTGGCAGTTCGACTGGGCCTCGCATCACTGCCACCACTGCTCTCTGCCGTAGGCTCATTCGTTGGTTCCTCTGTAGCTTCAGCAGGATTGTACCACTCAGTAGCACCAGGTTGCGTGAAGCCTGCACCCATACAGTACGAAGCGTAGTAGGATTGCATGGAAGTCAAGTCCCGAGAGCGATCGCCAGCTGAGCACAATGAGGTGGCGCACTTGGACATGAAACCATCGGCTTTGTTAGCAGATGCAGCGGCGGTAGCGCAGTAGCAGTTGTTATCATAGGGGTCATCACACCCCATAGCCCTGCCCATATCGGACAGAACGGTGTAGTAGAGACACTTGCTGATACATGTGTGGCCAACGTTGTCGAGGTTGGCACTGATGGTGACACTTTCAAAGTCTGCTGAGAGGGCAAAGGGGAGAGAGAGGAGAAGGACTGAGAGAAGTCGAGACATAATTGCTGGTGTTGCTCCAACTGGAGATGGTGGAAGAACGTGTAAGTGGAAACAATGGGATCCGACCTGGCTAACACAACGAAACTGCTCGCACAACTGACAGCAGGGCATCAACTCTATAAGGGACCACCGCGGTCATGACTAGAAACCGCCCTATCGCGGCATATATTTACACCGTATCTCATCTATTTTCGTCCCTGCTTGCCCTCGGGAACTGGCCTAGCTAATTTGAGGAGATCTGCATCGAAGCCATACACGCCAATGCATGTACGTTTATGTTTATGCCAGGGGCAAGATGTTTCTATTGGTTCTTCTGAAAAGATAAAGCTCTGATAGGGCCAAAGACTGCACGAGCTGAATAGAGTTGGCGGGTATATTTAAAGTCACGATGGAAGATGAAACCGCCATTTCTGCAAGGTGCCTCGATGAGTGGGAGGATGTTTGAGTGGCATTTAGAGCCGGCAGTGGAAACTCAGACAATATGCAAGGGATAACTGAGAAAATACATTGTAAGGCGGCCTTCCAGTGAAGCATTCTCTATCATAAATCGTTGAAATATTGGTGTTGAAGATGTTGACTCTCGAAGAGAACACTTGAGAGAGCGGAATTGGACAAACAACTTGCATGCCCACTGAACCATCATTGGCTAGTACAGTGACAACGTTCATATCTGGTGCGGAAGAGGTTATCTTGGCACAAGGATCAGGTATGCTAGGAGTTCAGCCGCAGTCAACAAGGGACGGACCGAAACCGCATTGTATTGGTTGACGATCGGGTTTCTGAGACCTCTCGTGACCAAGGCACCCTGGCTAATTTAAGTGTTTCCCACGGCTTGCATTAGTTTATTGAGTAGCTGATCAGTTATTCGTTACGGGATATTCGTATATGGGACGGGCATTAGTCGCATCAACATTGAGAGGACGGCGCTTCGGCGTTCAATAATACGCTGTTGCTAGTGCTTGGCTAGGCTGCCTGGCCAAGATGGCTAAATATTACAATATTTTGAGAGAAACTCATATGATTGAGATGTACGGATACGGGCACTCTATTATAGTAACAGGTTTCACTATTAATTGGTCATTATTCATACCTGAGTTGTTATACTCGTGCCTACTTGTTCACTGGGAGACATGACAATGTATTAAGAATTAAGCTTAAACTTCCCCGCATCATCTACCGCTAGAACGTTTCGTGCTTGTGCAATTGTGAGCTGTCTGAGATACTCACTGTGATTCATTTCTTCTTGACACTGCCGTTTCTGTCCGTACTCTGGAATTTCTGCGTAATTTCAGAATGCGCCTTTCGGATCGAGAAGCTGCCCATGCCATCCGAGCCAGACTCGAGCCCCTCGGCCGAACAGGCCTCAGCATCGTATACACAGAGAAGGGCAACTCCAAGTCCGCTCTGAAGGCAGCTGGATTTTGGTTAGACGGTGAAATGTACGACCACGCCGCATTCGCTGAAGATACAAGCAACTTGTTTAAGCGCGAAGCTGCCATATATGAAGCTCTCGGCTCACATCCATGTATCCTCAAGTGCATCGGTGTCGAACTCATGCCTGATGGAGAAGAAGCTTGGGCTTTGCGTCTTGAGCGGGCGCCTCATGGCAATTTACGGGAGTACATTGGGAAGAACGAACCTCCGGCAATGGCTCGTCGCTTGCAGGTAGCTATCGACTTCACGGAAGCTTTGCAATACGTCCATGATCGCGGGGTTATTTGGGGCGACGTCTCACCTCGAAATGTTCTTGTCTTTGATGATCTTCATATCAAACTCTGCGACTTTGCCGGCTCGATTCTGAAGGGCAAGTTCCCCGAGCTTCTCTTTACATGTGAACCTCGTTGTTGGGTGCCAGGACCAGAAGGAGACTCTACTCCCCGAAGTGTACTCGAAAAGGAGCTGTTTGCGCTTGGTACTGCAATTTGTGAGATCACAGAATGGACTGTTCCTTATGGGCCAATAGAGATAGAAGAACTCCAGCAGAAACTTATGGACGGAGAGTATCCTTACGTTGGTGACAGTAATCCTGTCAAGGATGTTATCAAGAAGTTATGGAATTTTGAGTATAGTTCTGCACAAGAGGTGGTGGAAGCTCTGAGGACAGCTCTCGTTGATACGCAAGGCGGAGTTCAGGTGTGATAAAGCCAGTATCTAGTAGCGAAGGATTTCTAAAGTCTGGCTACACAGGTATGAAGTTGATGGCTGCAGTGCCCAAGCATACCGGGGCTATCACCAACCCACGCTCGAGAGCATGCGTGATCATGAGAATGTTGGTACAACCTCCAAGCAAGCACAGCAACGTATGGCTCAACTCACATGAAAAGACGTAACTCATCATTATACCGAGCTAGAGATCCCAGAAGACCAGGACACAATTTAGTGGTATATTTGTACGCATTGCGCTTCTTGTCTTGTGAGGTGCATGGACAGAAGAGCACCTAGAGCAAATTTTGGGGCTGATGACCGATGAAAGTGCCGAGCTTGTTCGAAAATGATGATTATGATTGGGTCTTTGCGCTTTTGATATTATTATTTAAATTTCTCCCGTCCTGTACCGTATCCCTTTTATTGAAGGGTTGTCAAGGCGGTCGTAAGAGAAGACAAAAGGTTTGTCCCGTTGGATTAAGCTCTTTTGAGTTAGGTTGGTCATCTCCACCTCCAGCGGGTTATTTTTCAGCTTCACTGCAAGTATTACAGGAAGAGGGTCATGTGCTGTGTCTGCCAAGATCGAACGGAATGGAGCACACAGTCCAACAGTTCGGAGAGAAAGCCAAATGGGAATATGAGGAGATGATGGCAAATCCGAAAATACGTGTATGAATTCGTAACGATCTGAATCCGAGGTCTTGGCAGATGCGAGGTTCTTATTGACAGGTCGTGGCGCAGTCAATTTACTGTGAGACTGCGGCATTTCTAAACCTGACTGACTGATGAGCCAAGGAGCATTCAAACTGTGGCGATTCATGTACCGTTGGGAGATATTTTTGGATTTCTGCTGATCAGGTACTGGCTGCATCAGCAACAGTAGAGGGACGGGACCCAGATGTGATTACTGTGCTTCCATCTAGGGCTGCATGCGACTGTCTGCAAGCAGGTTAACGTTGCTCGGGCGAGAGAGGCTTGGGCTAGTCAGCGTTGGCGATTGGTTTAGTCTACCTAGTCTCCTGTAACTCAACGGCAAGATGCGATGATTGTGTCGCACAAGAGAGCCTTGTGGGTGCAGCTGAAAGGCACATTCTACCTGGAGGCTTGAAAGGCGCGAGGTTAGGCCTGGCTGGATCATTCTGGGCTGGATATTTGGCGGAGGCGCGGCTTGGGACTAGACTGCGAGAGGAATTGGAGGATGGATCTAAGCTGCGGCTGGGCTGACAGAATGGTAATCGGGCTGAGGTGTGATGAGACAAGACAAGCTATTGTGCAGTAGTAGCTTGCTACAGCAGCTGCTAATAAGCTTCAGCTGCAGGATAGGACTCAAGCGAAGTCAGCCTCTTTGTATAACCACTTGATCTGCCTCTCGTCGATATTCATTCATTCATTCTCTCTCATTTCTCTCTTGCACTTCATCATTTCCTCCAGGACTGGACAGACAGAACCCCCCCCCCCCTGCCACCTGCAACGTCCTATCCTGCAGCTGCAGCTTATTAGCAGCTGCTGTAGCAAGCTACTACTGCACAATAGCTTGTCTTGTCTCATCACACCTCAGCCCGATTACCATTCTGTCAGCCCAGCCGCAGCTTAGATCCATCCTCCAATTC